GAACTGATGTGCTGGCAACACTGGCCAAGCCAGTGGAAATTTGAGGCTGTCCTAGAGTTAAGCTTCATAACTTTCTAGTATCAGGAAGGTGTTTGTTTGTATTTTTCTTACCAATATTGTGCTTTTGAATACTAGCCATATACAATAAGCAATACAATGCTTAAAGGCAGCAATATGCATAAAGTTGTGTGATTCAATGAGGCAAATAAACTGGGAGTGGGTGGTGATGATGATTTCGAAGTATTTCCCTGGAAATGGAAATTTCATGGGTAAACAAGAACAGATCTCTAGAGTGTGTGTGTACATATAAAATATAGTGGCATATAAGAATTTCATCCAGTTAAGCTTTTCCTATCAGTTCCATCATGACACATGAAAACCAGAATTGTATAACGTGTTAAAGGAGCTGGCAAGAACAGACTCTAGGACAGGGTGAGAGACCTGTGGCTCTCCAAACATAGTTGAACTACAAATCCAGTCAGCCACAGCCAACATAGCCAAGGCTAAGGACTGCTGGGAGTTGTAATCCAAAACATTTGGAAGGCTACAAGTTGCTCACCCCACAATATAGTACTAAAAACCTTGTTTCCCAGTAGTGGATGCTTACATATGTAGCTAAAATGGCACTACCCATACAAAAGAGAGAGGTATCAACAGGCCTGAGAGAACACTAAGGTTTGCAAAAGTAGCAGAAAACTTTGGGGAATAACTTGGAGTAGTGTAGTGAGGACTGGGTATGTCCAATGGACATGGAATGCTGGCTGACTGTTGGAAGAGGGAAAAAAGAAACATACAGAGAAACAGAAATGGAACTGACTGTCCAGGGAAAAGGCATGGCTGGCTGGAACCCTGCACAGGAACACTTCACAATGCAGTATTTTCTTGCAGGGACCACTTGTTCTGTTGCTGAGTGCCAGTGAAGTCTGTGCGCAAGAAGTTAAGTTATGCGCAGTCTGTTTCATACATACTACAGGCAGGGACCGAGGGCACTCAGTTAATTTGGATCTGATTTCCTGTGGTCACCATATGTGTGAAGCATTCCTATTTGCACTTGGGGATCAGAGCCTTCATAGGCTTGTTGTATTGATCAAAGTTGAAAAGCACTCTGTTTCTTCCCATTTACCTCCAGATGAGGAAAGAAATGGTCCTCTTTCCTTCTTTACTGGTGAGCTCCTTAACTGGAAAGGCCCTTCCCAGGCTCAGAGTCTGAGGAAGGACAGGATGATTAATTTTTCCTGGGGCAGAGTTGAAATCCCTGGAGGCTGCTTTGCTTAACTCTGCTTTATGGCAGCCGCTCATGCCCTTGATGCTACTACAGATAACTGGCAGGCGCTATGAGAAAGTGAAGCAGACAGACCTCTCCCCCTGATTGGAGACTTCAGGGGAAAAAGATTTGTGGTAATATCACCAAATACCTTGCAAGATAAATTCAAACAAGGAGATAGCGGTGGGCATGCAAAAACTGGATCAAGTAGTTCAGTTATTACTTTGTACCAGCTAATCTTGGCAGATGTGCAAACTTCGAGAAAATATCATGGAACAATAGGGATTTAGGGATTTTCTATCAGGGCTCTTGTGTCTTTCACAGCTACCTCACATGAAGAAATTCAACAAGTTACGGCCTTTTCCATTGTGCTGTGATCACTCACCCAGTGGGATTTTAGTTGTATAAGGGATTTTAGTTGTATAAGGCAATAGAAAAAGGCGGCAGTCCTTCATAAAAAGAATGAAGTGTTGTTGCAGCCTATTAAAGGCTAACACATCTATTATGGCATAAACTTTCTCGGGCTAGAATGCACAGGGAGTTGTCCTCAGCTGAAAGTGCATTCACACACACACACACACACACACACACACACACACGCAGAGTGATGTCAATTCATCATAGCAAAACTACAGGCCATAACAATTCAATTAAATGCATACAAAGGAAGAAAACCAATATTCAAAAGAATAGTGGCTGGCAATGGCACTGTCATCCTAGATTATTTAAATTAATGCATACAGTGGAAAAGGATTATACATCTTCAGTCTCTTATCCTCACAGGCAGTGGGAGGGTTTAATTTATCAGGATGGATTTTTCATCCCCATCTTTCAGTGAAAGCTGATGTGTGAACATTCTAATCCAGTTTAGCATCTGTGTGAGAGCATGGAACTGGTGAGGAGTAGATATTCTGGAATAATTAACACAAAGTGCAAGTGAGAGATCTTCAGCATTTGGCATGACAGCCTCAGCCTTTTAAAAGCTGTACTAACTCTCTCTCCAAAACATCTATCTTAAGCCCTTTGATAGTATTTACTCAGCTCTGTGCTTCTCTGCATATCTAGTGAAATGCAAATCCTACTTCAGTTCCATGGAACTGACTTTCTAGTAGGTTGTGCCCTAGTACACAAAGTGCTTTATGATCCTTACGATCATTCAATCTCCTATTGTGTTGATAAGTTATGTGCGATCCAGCCGATTTATGACAGCCCTATGAATAAAATGCCCTACTGAATATCCTGTCCTTCTCAGCCCTTCTTAGTTTAAGATGTGGCTTCCTTTATGGAATCGATCCATTTCATATTTGGATGGATCTTTCTTCTTTTACCTTGACTTTTCCTAACATTATTGTCTTCTCCAGTGAATCTCGCCTTTTTCATGATGTGCCTGGAAGACTACCGCCTCAGTTTCATCATTTTTGCTTCCAGGGAAGGTTCTGGCTCGGTTCGACCTAAACCCTCTTTGTTTCTCTTTCTGTTCGCCCAGGGTATTTGCTCCTCCAATACCACAGTTTGAACACATCAATTTTCTTCCTGTCAACTTTCTTCATTGTTCAGCTTTCACATCCATACACAGTGATCAGGAATGCAATCCTATGGATAATCTTGCCCTTGTTCTCCAGTAAAACATCCTTCCACTTGAAGTTTTCAAGATCCTTCATTGCTGCCTTTCCAAGTCTTAGGTTTCTTCTAATTTCTTGCCTGCAATCTCCATCTGACCTGATGATTGAACCAAGGTGTGCAAAATCTTTCACAATTTCAATCTCTTAATTGTTAACAGTAAAGTTCTATAATTTTTGGAGTCCTGATTTTATTTTTCCTGTTCAGCTGCAGTGATTCCAAGTGATTTCAGAACAGCTTTCATGTTACTGTCTAATATTGTAGGTTCTTCCTCATAGGATCCCTTTTTGAAAATGTTTGTCATCCTCATATCTCTTCTGTAGAGTTCTTATGTATATTGTTTTCACCTTCTCTTTGTTTTATCTTGGTCAGTATGCGCCCCTGCTGGTCTTTTGGCATTTCTAAATTAGGTTTGAATTTCCCTTTGATTTCTTGGATCTTCTGGAAGAGGTCTCTTATTTCCCCCTCCCCCTTTTTTTCTCTTGTATTTCTTTTCACTGGTAATAGTTCTTGTTTTTGTATTATTGAAATTGTTCTTTTTGTTTCTATATGATGGATGCTAAAAGTTATGTTCAGGACTCTGACACTATTTCTGTTTCCCTTTGTTCTTGTTTCTTACCTGTCCTTAGCAATAGTGAGCATTAGGTCATTGTTATTCCCATTTAACAGATGATCAAAATCAGTATAATAGGGAATGATAAATTGACAGTGAATGAAATGATAGGAAATCTGTAAAACCAGGAAAATACAGAGTCTGCAGATCAGTAACCTCTTCAGGTGACCCACCACAACCTTACACTTTAAGTTCAGAACTGTATTCAATGGAACCATCACAGGATGATGTTAAAAGTGGCCCACGGAAACAGAACCAGCTCAGGTTGTTAGTGCCTTTGAGCATGACATTTTCAATGAATCTGCCTTCTTACCACCATGGGCACCAGCTATTGCTCATCTTCTTTTTCACCTTTGCTACCACTTGCCTGCTTGATGGAAAACCAATAAACATGCAGGCAGGGGAGTCCGCTATGATTCCTTCCCACCACTGCAGTCTGGGACAGAGTGGGAAGCAGGTGAGCAAGCAGGCTGCTATAAGGCAGAGGAAGGGCAACTCCAGGGGACTTTTGTCAGAGGGTCCCTGGTGGACAGTAGGCTATGCATAGAAATAATCCTGCCATATAGTGGGATTCTGATTTCTTAACTGCCAAAGCATATATTTTTCCTGGAGCGGTGTCCAAAGTCATGCACACATGATCCCCCCACCCCCAATGTCAGTTTTCCATAGGCGGGGAGCTTCTGATATGGAGAGGGAACTGATTCAAGCCTCGTGATCCCAAACTCAGCCAACTATTTGTTCAGTGAGACAGATCTTTACATACAGCACTGTGAACACAACCAGTTGCTACAAAGATCTCAAAATTTAGGGTGCATTCCTATTGATTGTGCCCTTGATTGGAAGATCCTGAGACTTGGAGACTTGTGGTCATCCAGTGCAGGAGGAGCAGCAGAAGCAAACTTTTCTTCCCTGTCCTCCTGCCCTGCATTCTCCTCTAGACAGGCCTTTTTGTCGTACTACTGACAGTAGTTTTGGAAAAGGAGTCAGGGTGCTAAAAGAGGCTCATGATAGCTGATTAACTAGGGCTGTCCAATCTCCTTCCTTTGCACTGGTTTCCTCCCTCCATGGTTTCTTTCCAATCTCAAAGGGCAGTCAAAGTGGTCATTTGCACCTTGGTTTCTATAGACATGGGGAGGGGAGGTTAAATCTCCAACTCCTCCTTCCAGTGTTGGAGTGTGGCCTCCAGCCTCAGAGAGGAGAATCCCCAGTATCTTATGGCCTCTCAAACACTATCTAGGGGCCATGGGATCACTCCCTATTTAATATCAAGGTGCTGGAATCAAGAGAAGAATCAAGCCTATATTTGATTCTGACCCAAATGCTAAAATCCCTTTGAAATTGGTAGTCAGAATTAGTTTAATTCAATGGGTCTTTGGCATGACTTTCACAGAATTTGGGCCTCTAAATTTAAACTTCTCAATGAGATCAAATTCTGTGAGATTGGATTGACAATCCCCTCCACCTCTACCACACACAGACATTTATACAACTTAAACAGAGAGCATCAGAAATACACATTTAATGCTGCTCTAAAGAAAGCATTGTTTCACAAGTCAAACCAAATATAGTGCTTGCTCATATTAAAAATGTATATATTTGCTTTTAAGATCCAGTACCTTCAAAGCCTGAAACACAGCCAGCTGGAGGTTAGTACAGCTTCAGGGAGGAAGTTGGAAGGAACACAGCAACTTGGTAGTCATGAAAATAGTTTATTTTCATAAGGACAGTAGAGGTGAAAAATGAAAGGTGGAAGGAAAAAGCTCCAAACATAATGACAGATGGGCACACTTGCAATCTGCCTGGCTTGAATTTTCTTCCCTAGGAATGCATGCTCTCACATCCATTTGCTGTTGCCAAACGTGTTGCACCCATTGATTTATCTTATCACAGGTATGGGGGAACCTCTAGGCTGCAGGCTGTGTGTGACCCTCAAAGGATTCCATCTGGGACCCAGGGCCTCTTCTCCTCACCTTGCCCCCTTAAACAGAAGGTCGGGCTTCTCTTCCTCCCAGTCAACATGGAACTCCAGCAAATTGTTAGTGTTGGCCTGACTGGGACTAAAGCAGGAGAGGGACAACAGGTTGGAGTTCCACTACTATTATTATTATTATTATTATTATTATTATTATTATTATTATTATTATTATAACATTTCTATGCCGCCCCTTGCTGAAACCTCGGGGCGGCTTACAACACGACTTACAACACGAGGGCAGCTTATTCACCCCCCTCATGGTACCAAACCCATAGATTGCATGTTGGGGGCAGGGAACAACACACCTTTCTATAGCCTGAATGCAAGTTTTATTCCTAATGCAAGTTGCAGCATGTTCAGGATTGTCAACACAGCAGAAGAAGAAAAAAATAATTCCTCACTCTACCATACTTGGTTAAATTTAGAAGGATTTCATTCATCACTGTCCCTCCATTATTTCCTAGGTCTTTCTCTTCATTTTTCATTACATAAAAATGTGATGGTATGTGTATGACAATTTGATTGCACAGGTGGGGAAATTCTGAATAACCAAAAAAGAGCAAATGCATCATTAAAAGGGGATCATTTGCATAAAACTGCACATGTTAAAGGTTGGAGTAATTTAGAAAGAGCTATTATAATTTAGAGTACACCTCATAATAGTGTGGAAACCTGAGACCAGGTGACATGCGTGCCTGCCTGTTCACTCTGCTGTTCAGGTGCTGACAAAGGGTAGCAACCTTTAAATTGGAAGATTAGAATAGCCCTTCAGACAGAGGATTCCTTCATGCAGAGGGGTGTCCTGTGTAAATGGCCACCCTAGCACAAATTCAAGCTATATCGACAGGCATGTGTGTTGTGGGGAGAGCAAGAACTGGTGCTTTAATGTATTTATATTACCGAACACAGAAACAAGCAAACAAAAAGGACATGAAGATTAGTCCTTGAACAGTGGGAACAAACTGCAGATGAAAGGCAACAAAAATGCATCCAGAGAGTGTTGCCTGAGGCCAGTGATTGCATTTGTGTTTGAACATGGATTTAGCTTAGGCATCAAATTTGCTGTTTCTATAGTTATGTCTCTTTTCAGCTCAGAGTAATTTGCACATATATTCATCAATATTACTGTTGAAAAAAGGAACACACAGTATTTTTTTGTTCCAGTGGCATTTGTGCAGCTCTAGTTACCATTATAGAAGAAGGCTGTTTCAAATTGGATGAGGGTAATTTAATGTAACCCAGGAGGTCCTGCAACACCAGGCTCTTGTGAGTGTCAGGATGAAATAATCAAATGGGGACCTTTATTATATATTCTTTACTCGGGGCAGGATTCTGATCAAGAAGCTTTAGATTCTGATCTAGAAGCACCTATAGGCTATAGGTGAAATATTGCATGTAAGCATCATCACAATGACCTTACTGTGGTGGTGAAAGCTCAAAAATTATCTAGGGTGTATTATGCAGAGGAAGTGGATTTTCTATAGATAACAGCATTGCTGTAGCCACACACAATTTCAAAAATGAAAAATCCAATGGACTTTGCTGTGTATGTGCTTGGATTCCAACTGCAAACACTGAAGTTGCTAACTAGAGAACTGAGTTTGCACAGTAACACAGACAGTAGATTGTATAAGTAATGGTTAAAACCTATCCTCATCAAAAAGTACCAGCATCATAAATACAAGTAGGGAAATATGGTTTACATTATTTAATGCTTACACATATTTTAACTGAAATGCAACTGAATGTTGCAATAAAATCCTTTCCTTTGTATTTTAGATCCTCCCTCACTTGGACTGAATGAGTGGGTTGTGTAAGCCAGGTGCAGGGTGAATTCTTACTGAATAATTGGACACAAATGTAGCTGCTTATTTATCAGCAAATAAAAGCTCTTAAAGATACAACTCTTTTTGAACTGAAAACTGAAAATTCTAAATGTCCTCCTGCAACTATTTTAAACACATTGTTAAATAATATGTATGTAGACAGCCACTTTGTTGATGACATCCTATGTATTTCTACTCAAAAGTCCAGTTGAGTTCAGTGGGGCTTAATCTGAGAAAGCCTAAGGCTTTTGTCTGTAGTATTTTCCACTGCTTCCACAGTCCTGTTGATCAGGGCATCACACTCAGTATGATGCTGTATAAGAGACCATCTGCAAGGTCTAAGACTCAGATTCATACTGCAGATAAAAATCACATATTCCTAAGGTAAAAATCACACATTCACAGTTCACTTGCAGAAAATCTGTATGAAATGTGCCCCAACAAGAGGTTCTATGCCTCTGTCTTTTAATTTATCAACTTCTGTGAGCAGAGTCGTATTTATTCCAACATACAACATAAGCTTTCATAAGTTTGCTTGAGGGAGGGAAAGTGAATTAGATGTAATTTAATTCTACCATCATATAGACTGTTATTGCATATTGATCTCCAGAGTTAAATAAAGATCTGCTTAAGTAACTAATGTAGGTTTCCCTGTTCTGAACATGCAAATATCTTAACCTAGCATTTAACTGTCAGCAGGCAAAAGACAATACCATTGACAAGTACCTGGTGCTGGCTATTCGGCTTTATTTTTTCCTGGAAAGCTGTTTGGGGCGACAGAGTGGCGTCCGAGTTTCCCAGGTTGTTGTGCTGACATACTGCAGTGGCGGTAGAGGGCAGGAGTCTGACAAAATCTCATTAATCATTTTAAATTAAATCCAACATTCCTCTCCAATGCTGCCAAGGAGAAGGCAAAGTTTTACAAATGAAAATGCCTTTGGAAAAGAAAAAAAGATCTGATATCCTAGCCTTGTAGCTTTCCAAACTAACGTATTTGAGATGGACATGCAGAGGAAAGAAATGTTATTTCTAACCTTAGCTGATGATGGGTCTGATTTTCAGGCACAGCAGGAACTTTCCTCCATTTCTGCAGATTTTTATTCATTTAGGGTGCAATTCTATGCACATTTAGATAGAAAGGGGTTTTGAATAAGTAAAATAAGACTGACAAAATAAAATCAACAGTGATTTTTAAAACAACAATTTTGTTGCATTTCTGCACCTCCTATAACCAAAGCTCTCTGGATGGTTTACAAAAGTGCATGATTTGAAAACACTATACTCTTGTTTCCAAAAGGTTCTCATGCTTGCTTAATCCAAGCTGTAAACCAGACCTCTCCAACCTGGCAGCCTCCAAATGCTGCCAGTGGATGGTGGGGATAGTATTCTAACACATCTGAGGCTGCCAGGTTGGGGAAGTCTGCTGTCAGCCTTCAGGCAGAGGCTCCATTTTTCAGAAAACGCCCCGATTCAAACTTTGCTGAAATTCTAGCATGAAGGGGCATCACAGTTGCATGCACATACTGTATGTGCTTTACCATTTGCACTTCCAATATATATGGTTAATGGGAAACCTTGAATTCATTTAAATAGGTTTCTGTTAAATACTGTGAAGGAATATATGAGTGGAAATGATGTTAAAGGAAGCATGAAGAATCCAAAGTTTTTAGGGAAGATTTACAGAGAGCCTTTTGGTAAGAATGGAAGCTTTAGGAAAATGTGAGAACGGGTTCATTTTTTCTTTTAGGTCACAATGGTTAGATAGATATGCATAGAGAGGACAGTTGTTTATTTTTAGATAAAACTTTTGTGGATTTCCAAGGGCTTTACATATTTAAAATTGGCACCTCAAAGCCTGCCCAGGTCTAATCCCCCATGCAGCTGTGTCTACTCTGGTGCCTTCTGGGTGTGTTGGAATATAATTCCCATCATCCTCATCCAGCATGCTCCTCCAGGAGAACTGGTATAAATCCTAGTGCATTACTGTAACATATTTACTTGCACAATATTTGTGAGTTTTTGGTTAATTTAGAAAAGCTATTGCATTGACATGGATTTTAGAACTGTTCCTATAGGCAATATGCCTACTTTTGCTTTCTTTACTATTTTTATGACCAGAGATGCCTGATAGCTCATAGTTGCACAATCAACGGATGGTACATTTCTCCTTGGTACAACTCTTTTTTAAGAATAGATGATTTAAGGATTGAGTGCATTAGAGGATTTCCTTAAACTTGATTTTGCATCTTTGCTTTATTCCAGGAGTGCTTTGCAGATGAACTTTTGACAAATGACATATTCAAAACTTCTCAAGTAGTTAAAACACATCCCTGTACTATTACTAACCTATTTTCAACATCTTGATAATAACCTAATAATAGGGCCATAATCCTAAACGCAATTATTGAAAAGTCCCATTCAACTGAACAGATAAACTTCTGCATCAACATAGGCCTGTGTAATCAATTAACTTTGCTGCCACTGGACTGGCTTACAGCAGTGGAAAATGAAAGTGATTTCCCCTTCCCTCCAACCCACCATGCACCCTCTACATTTCTTCCAAAAGTCTGGCAGATAGATTTTGGGGGTGAAGGCAGTGGAGAGGAGAAGATGGAAAAGTTCCTTCCATGTGAGTAGAAGTCTGTTCAAGTGATGGTGAGTTTTACCCATATCAAAACATAATAGAACAAATTTGCATGTCTTATTACTCGAAATGAAAAGGACACTAAAACATGCATGTGGGTGTAGCAGGAAATCTTTCAAGTATTTTCTTTGGTCATTCTTAATAAAGCTTTGGAGATCAGGGAACATGAGTTTCCACAACCAATTAAAAATAGAAAAGCTGATAACTGACTAAAGCTTTTTGGGTAAGATATTTTTTTAAATAACCATGATCAAAAAAGAAAGGCAAGCGGGGGGGACAACATGCATATTCTCCAATCTGTATGCTAAATCTTCATTAGGAAGCAAATCTGTACTGAAAAAACAAACAAACCAGTCAAAAATCACAACATAATTTCAGCTTCTTCCATATGGTTTGGCAGTGCAATTATATTGGCTAATAAGTAATACCAGTTTTAAACTTTTTGCCCAAAAGGATTAGGTTTTAAAAGAAGCATGAAGCATAATTACTAACTGGGAAAAATCAATGATGCATTAATTAAATAGCATTATCAAGCACTGCCAGTACTCCATTACTTCAAATGGCATTCTAAATTTATCTTTCAAACATTATTCCCAATTTTTAATGAAGAACTTTCAGCCGTGGTGCATTTAGTTTTCATAAACCATGAACAGAAATACGGTTTCTCGGTATCATTCTGCCTTATTATGCCATCTGAACCCAGAAAACACAACTGGTTCCAACGGAAGAACTGGCAGATTTTCCCCCCATCCCTTTTGCCTGAATGTTGATCAGGCATCCCAGGCATCTAGCAGTCTCCTCTGGAGTTGCAGGTAAAGGTCCCTGATCAGCTCCCTTGTCTCTCTATTGTGCTTCAGATCATGAGCCCTGGTTGTGCAAGAGATTGCCTGACAGCCATGTGAATGCTTGGGCTCATGAGCAATGCTGTCAGAGAGAGGACACTCATTCCTTCCAGGAGTGCCTCCTGGGATACTGCCTGGAGGACAGAGAAGAAAGGAAATGGTGAAAGGGAAGAGCTTGATTGTCTGTCAAGCTTATCGAGATTAACCACGGTAACCATTCAGGGTTACTTGTTGTGATGTGTGAACCCAGTCAGTATGTTTTCTATAAATTCATTATTTGAAGCTGTAAGAAATTTCCTAGCCCCATCCACTTCAAGTCATGTCTCTATTTTTACTAAAATACAAGATGGGGTCAATCTGTTTTGCAAATGATGCATGGAATCAGGAGTAGTAGTTTTACCCAACTGTTACTCTCCCCCCCCCCATATCCATACATACACTAGATTGAACAGATGGAATTGAACTTCAAATTCTGTGTCCGCCTGCCTGCCTTGTCTGCCTGTCCGTCTTGCTTGCTTCTAGTTGCAAGGATTTTCTGTAGACAGATACTTTAAGGCCTTGGATAAGGCTTCAAGTTCTTCCATCATTGTGATCCAACTACAATACAGCATGTGCTATATGCAAACTAGTTAGTTTTAGTTATGTTTGTTTTCAGTATGGCAAGAGGGCACCCTCTGGTACACAAATATTTTGTGTATTTCTGCAAACTTTGTATGAGAAAGTATATTCTTTCCCAAAATCAAAGTAGTCCCTGGCACAGACCGACCAAATACAGAGGAGGACAGATCTATCTTCCATACTTATGTAGAAGATACCCCATACTTATGTAGAAGATACCAGCTGGTTCATGTTAGGCAAGCAAGATCGCTAAAATTCCATCTGTTATTACCACTAGCAGTAGAAGAATGCCATCCTCCTTGGCATTTCATTATGTTAGTTGGGACCCCCGGCCTCCATTCTTGAAATTCTGTAGACATATATAGCCCTCCCCTCTCTAGTGTGTAAAATTCTGTGGATAAATGGACACAGCAGCTATAACTGATGATAAGCAAGGTATTTTCTCTTGTTAAGGACTGTGGTTCAGCTGTACTCATTCAAATCACTGCTGGCATTGCTACTGCTGAACTACAGCTGAGGCAGTTCTCATTGCTGATGTGACACAAATTATAGAAATGTCTGAGATATGTAATACTGAGAAAGGAAGAATGATCTGCATCTCTTATACACTCCTGGAAGATCCCAAGGAGGAGACAGACTTGAGACACAATCCTATTTAGACAGAAGAAAGTCTTACAAGTCCAAGCAGTCCCCCAGCCAGCCATGGAAAGTATTTTTATTTTTAGTCAGCAGCAGCAATTTAGTCAACAGTTACTCACCCCTGTTGAGTCCCAGTTGGAGAAATTTGCTCTAGGCACTAAACACTGAGGAACAAAGACCACCAGACTCCTTCTCTTCCAAGCTACTGTTTGTACATGGTAGCTTAGAATTATTTTCTCTTGGAATAATACTTTTATAGAGTGTACCCACCAGATTCTCTTATCAAAACAGCAACATGGACAGGAAGAAGCACCCTCACAATGTAAAGAAAAAAAATACAAGAGATATCGCCTAGTAGAGAGAAACAGGAAAAAACTTTAGTTAAAATATTTTACAATAAAATAATTATGGTTATAAATCTCTTTTGTTAAATATGTACACATTACTTGGCATTTTTAAAAAATGAACTGGTTAAAGTTTTCAAGCAAATCTACTGCACAAGTCCACCATCTTGTCAGTTTAAAATCATAATGTCCATGTAACATTCATAAATGATAATGTGTCAGACTAATGGCAAAGTTTTGTGCAAACTGTAAGCAAATTTTTAAAAAAATCTGGAAAAAAAATTCAGTTCCATGGTAAATTGCATTTGCATGTGTTTTGATTGCAGAAAGAGGTTAGAATGACCAGCACTAATATAACCCCCATATCTACAAATGAAGACACCTCCTTGGGTAACTAATTTCTTTTCAAACAATAAATTCTAAGCCCTAACAAATTGTGCTTTTAGGCAGCCACATGGCCTATAAGGTAGATATTGTCATAAAGGTGACCAACAAAATCTTCACTAATGTTCTGCGCAGCACGACGTGTATTTCTGATAAACTCTCTCTTTGACATTTTATTCTTCACATGAGGGCTAGTAAGATCAATGGAAAGCAGGATCAAAGAGTAGCATAGTACATAGACAGCATCTAAGAAAAAGAAAAAGAGAGAGGCTTCAATAAAACAGACTACAATTTAAGAAAGTTAGGCAACTTTTTAAACAAAAAGATTTTTGATTCTTTAGGGCATGGCTCTACATATCAATTGACTTACACAAAGACAGAAAACATAGAACCCAAGAACTGTTCTGTTGGAACAGGCTGGAAATCCATCCAAGCACCGTGAGAGATCTTTGGGAATTAAAGAAGCAGATGTGATGGAGACAGCCATCCTTTCTTTACCCCCGTACCTGGTTATCAAAAAAGTATACTGTTTCTGTACATCGACATTCTGTTTTTAGCCAATGGATGCTGAGAGATCTAGCTTCTCCTGCCTGCAAAAGGCAAAGTACTAGAAGAGACACTGATCAATCTGTATCTCTGAGGTGACTTGGAACTACAAGACAGCATCTGCTTTAAACAGATAACCTTCATTTGTCTTAACAGCACCTCAGACCATCAGTGTGGGGTAGTGATCAGTGTTGGAGTAGAGCTGCAGGGAACCATCTTCAGATCCCTACTCAACCATAAGGCACACTGGGTGGCATTTGGCCAGGCATGAGCTCTAGCTTTTACCTGCCTCACAATAATGTTGTGAAGATAAAATGGAGAAGAGGGAGTATCATATGAGCTGCTTTAAGTCAAGATATAAATGCAAAAAAACAAATTCATAAAATACTGCTGGTCACTCTGTACCATAAATACTCTCTACACTGTTTAAGAGTGCTGACGGCAGGGATGGCAAACCTCTGAGACCCAAGGGCTGAAGTCAGCTTTGAAGCAACTTTCAGTTTCAGAGGACACATTCCAATGCTGGGTGGGGGGATCAAAAGGAGGTGTGGACAAAATTGCACACACACCTGGAATATTATAGCTTGCAGCTCTTACTGCTATCAGGAGATGCATTTCTTCCTTTTAGAATTGGAAAAAATGTGCAGAATGGGGAAATCACCAAAAATCTGAGGACAATTAATGACTGGAGAAAAAGGAGAGGGGCCAGAGAAATGGAGTAGGGCCATTTGGAAAATCTAGGAGAGTCAGATAGGGCCCCCAGAAGGAATAGATCTGAGATTTCCTAGCCCAGTTTAAAGGGAATGGTCTTGAGGCTTACATTTATGTACTTAATATATTTACCCACCACTATTCATCAGTGATTTCAAGGTAGTTCACAAAAATCAGAAACAAGTAGTAAAACAACAATCCATAAGAAACAGACGGCAATTGCAGCAAAGTGCAATGAAAAGTCAGAGAGTGTAAATAACTGGAGATAGCAAAGAAGATTTAAGATGCCTGCATGAATAAAAACATTTTTGCCCGGTACTTGGCTCCAAGCAACTGTGTAGGACTTTCCCCAGCTGGAGCATCATTACAAAGAACCCCTCTCTTCCGTGTAATAGCCAATCTCACCTCTGAAAGAGGTAGTATGGTGATATCTGGATCATTGCTTTAGAGTCAAAGAAGGAACAACTACAGCAGACAAAAAGAGGCATAACATATCAATCTTCATTGGAATCCCTATACACATCAAAAGTATCTAAAAGAAATTACAGCCTTGTTCTTGCTACTATCTGCTGTATAATTACTTGTGCACATGATAGGCCAATCCTGGGCAGCAGCCTTACACATCAATCCTAAAGCCATTCTCTGGGATGTAAGCTCCATTAACTTTATTACTAAGTGGAATATATTTATGATATGTAGACTCTGTGAAAAACCACAATGGATCTAAAAACAAACTTTAAATATTTGGAAAACCCGTGTTAGGCCTCAATTTACAATACAACATGGCACTCCAAGCCATCTATCAAATGGATACCCCTCCTTCTTACCTGGGCTAAGGCCAAGCTCTCTCATTAAGTCAGGATTACACGCACAAAACCTGTGTGAGAATTTTGTGATAAGAGTCTCAAGATATTCACCACGCTCCTCTGGGGCATGGATATGTTTGAAAAACTCTCTTAGTGCATTTGGCAAGAACTGATTTCTGAAGTTGTGTAGTGTCACAAGGTCATCCAGAACGTCCCTCCTAAATTTAAAAAAAAGAAAAGACTTTTGAGACTTGAGAAAAAGAAAACATTGATACTGCACACACATTTTTGAAAGCATATAAACCCTAAGCATATCTACTCAGAACCATTCAATTCATTGGGATGTATTTATAGGTAAGTATGCACAGAATTGCAGCCATAAACATTTAGTTTTATTTTTTAAAAACTTGTAATTATGTAATGAAGTAAGAACATTCAAGATATAGTACACAGTTCACCATGCAACTTAATGTATATAAAGTACTAGAGGCCTGACTGGTACAGTACTGAAATATTATGGTCCCCGTCCATCAGCCTCCTAATAAAAACAAAATAAAATATTGTTTTTATTATTTTATTTGATTTTACTCTGTACTGTTCACTTCTCAGGAACCTGCTTCAATATAGAGAGGCATGCAAATACTGTAAATTAATAAATAATTTCAGAAATAATGATTTGAGAGGAGGTATCATTAAGGAAGACTCTGATACATTTAACTATTTTCTTACGTATACAGAATGGCAAAAATGCATGCAGGCTGGAGCCAGATGTAGGGAAGTGAAATGGAACTGGCAGATGCTATCTTCTTTGCCCAACCTCCTTCCATAAATCCCCCCTTCATGCTCAGCCCCCTGCACCAGACATAGTTCCATAGAGCAAGGTTCCAGACTCTGCATAGCATTTTCAGCCAGCTAGAGAAGACAGGCAAGCCTACTTTCATCAGCCCCATTGCATGTGCTTAAATCTGGATACAGTCCACTCTAAATCTGTATGCATCACAAGTAGACTGCGTAAAATAGTCAATCTTCTGATTGGTCAAGACATACAAATGAAGCAAAACAAAGCCTTTCTATACTAGGCAAAAATATATTTATTTATATAGTGCCATCTTATTCCATGGCACATTTCAGATTTGAAGGCCAGAAGAATAATGCATTCAAGCAACACAGAGTTGCAATACAACCTGATATGTGCAAAGTAACATCTAAACATGTAATATACAACAATTTTTGTATCTAGTTAAAGATGCATATAGTGCAGTAGTCTTTAAGGCTGATATAAGTTCATTAATACCTGCTAGAGATGGGAAAAGGACCATGTAAACCTTAGTATAATGATAACACTAGTTTTGACCATTTTGTATATGCCACATTGGAAAAAATTGTATTTTGAAAGGCAATTTATACAGCATCAAAACACACCCACACACATGTTCTATCTTAAATCACAGGCTCTTTCAATGGCTATATACTACACACTTATTCTTTGTTGCTATTGCTGGAATAGCTAAGCTGCATAATATGCCTAAAAAGATACCTGAAAGTAAGACAAGATTCCTTAAACCTCCAGCTCAGATTATTGTGTTTGAGCAAATGAATACACGAAGGTAAAGTTAGATTAGAAGCCTGATTTGTATCCACTTTAGTCCAGATTGGCCTTAGTCTAAAGCCAAGCCTTGTTATGAAAATGCAAAGCTTCTGATGTGCCTATTAATTATAATGGGGAAAAATATCAACAAACAGCTAAAACTCTGAAAACATTTTGACAGTATTAGATACAATTTTCATGTATGATAGCCTTTGAGTGGATAAAGCCTGCCAAATTTAAGATAACTGCAAAGTTAAAGGGAGGCCCCTCCCAAGGTATATACTCAGAAGTAAGTCACAATGAGTGACAATGAGCAGTGTGATTTTATACACATTTACTAGAAAACAAACTAGAAAGAAAGTTTGTGGATGCCCAATTTTCAGTAATTACAGGGAACAATGTAGTGCTTTAGCTGTGACCAAGTGGCTTCACTAATACAGCGTAGTTACCATAATCAGTTGAAACCCCCCTTTTGCACTTTTGGAAGAAAAACACTGCTGAAGGAAAAAAAAGGGATATTTATCTGGGATGGGAGCAGAACGAGGAGAGAGCTGATTGACAGAAAATGGCTTGAGTATGAATGGGGTCATAGGAACACAGGCTTTTCTAAAAAGTGAAATAAGCGGGGGAAGAGTGATCATTAGTTGGCAGTCTGGGCAGACAATCAATACACAGTTCATGGTCACCCAAGGATGTCAGAAAGCAGGCGTGGTGATGCAGGGAAATTCTGTGGACCACATCAGGCTTGCAGGCCTGAGATTCCCCTGCCTTGCATCAACTGGTTAAAAGGAGTCATTCCCTTCCCATTGCCTTTTTGGTTTTGGAAGCAACTTGAATACATTTTGAGAGGTAATATTTTAAGATCAGTTGCAAAATTTCAGAACAAATTATGTTGAACAAAGTATGGTTTGAGGCTTTTCTTTCCCTGTTCAGACTCTGAAAAATGCTGACAACTTCTGATACATTGTTCATTGGATCAGGTCCTACATAAAGGAGTGTGGTGGCAGTGCCTTGGGAAAGTCATTTTCTGACTGAAAACCAAATGAGTCACAATCCCTGTTTCCTCTGGCTTTCTTTTACATACAGGAAAATTGATCAATTTGTAACTGTGTCTGTGTATTTCTCATGCTTTGGGATCATCCAAGTTTCTTTGGCAATGGCTCATTTATGTAAGAGAAATAAATTTGTCTGAGGCAAATTTGCTTCTTTATTGGCTAATACATGTTGATTATGCATTTCCATATTCAAGGATTGTTTCAAGAGTCACTCCAGGTTTTTTCAAGAGCTGCTTACATAAGAAATGGCCCAAATTAATTTCTGCCTCTATGAAAAGCTATTCTGGACGTAGGCTAGAAAGTTGGTGAAAAAAGGATATATAAGACAGATTGCTTAATTGCTTACTCCAACCATGAAGTAATTTTTGCAAACTGTGTAAAGAGATATATTGTCTTGTGAAAGTGTGTAACATGTGTTCAACTGTTAGTATTCCTGGACTTAAGAATTAGGTGGTCAGTAGTGACCATGGAAACATATAAATTCTTAAACACTTGGAGGATTTCCCAAAACTTTGCAGGTTCCAAGAACAGGTCTCAAGAATGGACTGTATAGCACGCTAGTTCTTTCAAAATGTTACCAAAACGACGTACAGCCTAATTCTCTGCACATTTCTCCCACCAAGTTCCAAGGGTTTACTTCCAAGTTAAGTGTGTGCAGATTTGCAAATCTTAAACTCACAAATATTTGCCAGGTGATTTTGAAGGGCAGTGGGCCAATAAACAAAGCATACTACATTATTTATTACATTTATAGGCACCTTTTTTCCTCCAAGAAATCGAATACTGTCACATGATCTTCCTATTGCTCCCTATTTTATCCTCATAACAACCTTTTAAGGAAAGTTAGGCTAAGAGTAATTAACTCTGCTAATGCCACCCAGTGAATTTCATAGAAACATAGAAACAGTGAGTCAGAAGGGGCCTCCTGGGCCATCTAGTCTGACCCCCGGCTCCAGCCAGCTCCGCTCACAACATGCCCACCATGTGCATGTCCAGCCTATCTTTGAACACCCTCTCCAATGGGGCCTCAGTGACCTCCCGTGGAAGCCCATTTCATACCCTTGGGGTCCTAAACTGTCAGGAAGTGCTTCCTGGCATCTAAATGGAACCTTGGTTCCCTGAGCTTTGCTCCATTGGAGCGTGTCCTGCCTTTCTCTGCAGGGGAGGTCTCTACCCATCTCCGTGTGACATCCCCTCACATACCTGTATGTCACCAACAGATCCCCTCTGAGTCTCCTCTTCTCCAGGCTGAAGAGACCAAGTTCCCTTAGTCTCGCCTCATATGGCATCCCCTACAAACTGGCGACCAACCTTGTGGCCCTACGCTGCACTGACTCTAATCTGGCTATATCCTTTCTGTAATGAGGGGCCCAAAACTGAGCACAATACTCCAGTTGCAGGAGCACCAGAGTCGTATAGAGTGGTAGTAATACCTCTCTCAATCTAGAAGCCACACTTCTGGGTATGCAACCAAGGGTGGTGTTCACCCTCTTGACCACCGCATCACACCGCTGACTCATGTTTTAGCCTGCAGTGTAAACTGCAGGCTAAATTATTCAATGTGTTCATAGCTGACTGGGGACTAAAATAAGCAAAATAAAGGAAATGATCACAAAACGATTTATCATATCTTGGTGGCACCAATCACCACTCTTCCCTACACTCAAAGAATGCCCCCTCCCCCCAAAGCCTTTCCCTAAGGCTGTTCTTATAATCTTGATGAAAATCTTAACCTTGTTAGCTAACCTTGTTAGCTGCCAATCACATGGCAGTCTAGATGTTGTCTAGTAGAAATCCTGAATGCTATATACCCGGGATTCGCTGAGGATCCATGAGCATATTTGGGAACTTGAGAAACTGCTTTGGGTACCACCACAATATACCTAATCAGTGATTGCTACATTTGCATAGTAGCACAGACTGTCCACAGACTAACTGTCTATGGATCTTAGGCTATGCCTTATTCAGTAAAATGTTCTGTTTTGCATCTATTGGACAATGCACAATCTCTTTAATAAGGGATTGTCTAATTCAGCTAATTGCTGTCAGTGCAGCACAGCTACTGCTTCTTTTAAATGTATGCTCTGGCAATGTGCAATAATTACTTCTTTTGGAGAAGATATTACACAGACAACCTTTGTACTGGCACAGTTGTACATACTCTTTGTACTCTAACTGGATATGCACACTCTTTCAAATTATTTCCCTTTTCATGGAAAATAACAAAGGAAAGGAGAAATAAATTCCCTGCTAAGAGGTTGCTATTACAAAAGTGGAATAATAAACATTCAATCCTTATAATAAAATAGAGGATAATACTTTCCATATATGAACAGGTGGCATATAGACACCAATTTCAAATGGATATTTATTTGGATATCTGGTTCTCTTTTGATGAGGCCTATGGTTAATAATTAAAAAGATGTATGCATTTCATACCAATTCATAAATATGTATTCAAATAGGAAAAAATTAAAATTGGGTGCTTGTGGATGATGCATTTGGAATTTCTACCATATAGTGATAAAATATATTTAAATACATTTGAACTTGCTTAAACACCATAAAAAAGAATCATCAAGTAGGGGCCACTATCTCAAACTTAACATAAATAAAGCAGTTAATATAAAATGTTATGTGAAGACTCTCTTTGCTTGAGCAGAATTTGAGGTATCTGATGCAGAACAGAGGGGCAGGATAACCAAATTATCTTGACTAGTTAGTATTAGATATCTGTCATTCCAAGACAGCTATTAACACATTTTTGCAATATTCAATAATTTTTATGGGTAAACCTCTAAAAACGAAAAAGAAATAAATATCCCCAGTTCTGCCATCAGTGCACTGCTGTTTTTTATTATTCGTACCTCATGATATCAGTGTTTTAGTAAGAAATACAACTCTATTATATGAGAGAACTCAGTGTTCCCCATTTTATAATCAAATTACCTTTCATCAAGATAGATTCTCAGTTTCTTCCAATTTAGTGTTCTTGTACAGAAGATAAACTTAGCTATTTCCTTTGGTGAATCATCCAGTATTCCCTTCGACATGAAGTAGTTGACTCCCTGGGACAAAGATATTTATATATATATGTAAGCTTAGCTTTTTTAATGCTCAACTGGAGCATTTTGTATGGAACAAATTCTAACAATTATGTAGAAATTCTATCTTATGAACTGCATTTCAATATGTTCAATCTAATTCATATGCAAATAAAACATGTGTTACCGTAGTTATGGCTGAGATTTTATATGCACTAAAGCAGCAGGAAACATGCTTCTTAAAAAATTTGCCTCCTCTTTTTTTAACCACAACATAATATTTCAGATTTAAGATTGCTTTGGAACATATTTAATTTCCTAGCTTGGTCACTTGCGGAAATGTTAGCCAAAATTATTTAGCCTTCATTTTACTTTAAAACAGCAATTTTTGTGTTCTGCTGCATGCAAGATCACATTCAAACAAATGAATGGCTTTGCACTTACTAGATGTTCAAATGTATGCCTAGGTAGTATGTATGTCTTGACACCACAAAACTTACTGCAAATGTTAATGTTTTAGAAGAATCACAGACCAGGATGTATCATACAATATTACTTGTGCTGTTTTAACCATTTTCTTATTGCAGAAATATTTACTGAATAGATCTAGGCTATTCCTTCCCTAAAATAATCCAGATTCTCATATGAGCAAAGAACCAATGTTGCCATCCTACATGATTTTGAAACTAAAACTTCTTAAAGGATGAAGGAAATATTTTACCAACCAAAACGATTATGGAACTTAATATTTGAATACTGTATTTCATGGCTCAATGCTATGACTTGCTATTTTACTACTAGACTGACTAGCCCAAGCAGCAGCATAAGGGGACAGCCTGCAGCCTCCTACTGAAACCTGTCCCCAGTCTCAACAGTAGCTGGTGCTGCACCAGCAGTGTCTGTCCTTACTATAACATACACGAACCAAGCAGCATCTTGTGTAGTGTTGACAAGATTTGCAGGTGCTCCCATAGTATAACATTTAATTTCATTTAATAGTCCAGGAGTGACCATGCAGTTGATTTCCTAGACCAAAGGGATCCCATGTCAAGTGGGTCACAGCTCAACAGTTCTACTCCATTTGCAAAGTGTAAGGCTCCACTTTATGTGACAGCACATTGTTCTATCTGCTGTGGCAGATGCCTTCCCCTTTTGGTGCTGTACCTGCTTTTCTGCCACTGTAATTGCCTACAACCCCTCAGTCTGCACTTTCTCAAATTTCAAAGATGAGATGAGATATGAGCACCATAGATGAGATTTAAGCACCATAGATTTTTAAAAACTAGGTGGTCTGAATTGTTCTTTAGTACACATTCAGATATATAATAAGGGTAGCAGTTGTTCTCAACTTCATTATGTATATAAAAACATTGGTGCCAATCTGATCTTATGGACAGGAGTAAGCCTGCAATTAATTGGTTTTTGCAGATAAACACTGCATCTTTTAAGTTTAAGGCACCTTCAGTTTAAGAAATATTTTTTACACAGCAGAAAAGAAATAGGAAATGACAAAATGCACATGTTCTAAAAATTGAGAAATCTAAACAGTCATTAAAAACCAGTACACAGAAACATTATATGTTTTATCAAGTCTTTACTTCAGATTTAAAGAATTTCTCCATTGTAATTATTTTTTTTTTATTATTATTATTATTATTATTATTATTATTAGAACATTTCTATGCCGCCCCTTGCCGAAGCATCGGGGCGGCTTACAACACAATAAAATACAATACAATAAAAAATAACAATATAAAATTAAAATTAATAATATAAAATAAATAAAAATATAAACGATATAAAAGAAGTTATAAAAGAAAAGTTATAAAAGAAAAGAAAAGAAGTCGCCCTGGCCAGATAAATAAGTAAATATTGTTAACAATTAAAATGACGTGTAAATGAAATAGCTATCATTTACAACTATATCCTTTCTTAAAGAAAAACACTCAGAAAAGGAAAAAAAGAATCAAAGCTAGGAATCAACTACAATGAACTTGGTTAGAATTTTGTGCCACAATTGTACATGTTTATTATGTACAAAACTTACTTATTTGCTAAGCCAAAAGTTAGAAACACAGGTACGTGTGATTTTTTAAAAATTCCAATTCTAAAATATTAGCTTGCATGCAAGAACAAAAATAGATTGCAACAGAATGTACATCCAGTACTGTATCCTCTGTCACTTTTGTTCTTTGGGTGATGGATTTGATTCCACTGCATATCACATAGACACTTCTGTGCCCCAATAACTTTGGGATATGCACCACACTTGGAAAATTAACAAGAGCATCAGAACTACTGACAATACATACTAATGCCATCAGTATCCTACATACCTCTTCAGGATTAGCATTAAAGGTGAGGCTGCCTTCATCCAACTGCATATACAATTTTCTAAAAGAAAATCCAAGAGGAGGATTCTTATTGTATATGGAACAGTGACCCCAAGTGGATTTGCACAATCTACAAAAATGGAAGAAGTATGTTCAGTATAAAAATATAGTGCCATATTCTATTTAATATTCAAACCTGTAGGAAAGTTATAATATTTCAAGATGCTAAGAACTCTGAATATTTTTATGAATTATTACAGTAATATTTATATGTATTGCTAATTTCTTTATGACACAATTCATTGAAAGTTTAGGCAGAAAAACAGTTCTGCAATTCCCATGGTGGCTGGGGAAAGCTGGGAGCTATAGCCCCTTTTTTCCTGTCTAAACATTGCAACCTTGATCTCCAAACAACTTATTCCACCTATTTTAATGGGATTCTTCCACACATACTAAAAAGCAGGTTGTGTCCAATTAATCCCTTCCACTGGCAGAACTGCTTCTGTCACTGGAATGCAAACATGCAAAATCTGCTATAGCAGGCTGGGGGACCTTCTGAAGCAGACTACAAGTGGAGATGGAGATCCGAAGAGGGGAGAAGAGGAAAAGGTGGTCTTGCAGGAGGACACTCATGCAATGTTGGATTTCACCCAGAGCAGGTAACTTTAATGGGTTCACACTTCACGACAAGCAACCACATGTGCAGGTTTTTTTGTTTGGCTGGGCATGACAGAAATCAAGTGGTTTCTATGCTACGACTCATAGTAAGGTTTCCACCTTCTTTACTCATCAACAGAATCGCAGTTCTTCTGTTTCTTTCTTGACATTAGTCATCTATCAGGGTGACCAAGGTAGTTATAATCAGGATACAACCAAGGTCATTATCCAGAAGCATTTTAATCTACAATCTGCACTAAGCATCAGAAGCTGTACCACGACAAAAAACTTCCTAACACATGTATGGCTAAATTGCCACACTAAAGTTGTCTAACTAATAAAGGAAAAACATATAAGCCTTTGATAGGACAGAGGTTAATCAATAGTTCTATCCAATAAATGCCTTCTCATCCTAACAGTGTCATTAGTAATTCAGACATCATTTGACTCTAACCTGGAATTTTAAAACAATAAACCTAGTAAGCTCAGGAGACAGCAGTTTCTATTTAAGAGGATCCATTATTCCACACAAAAGGAATGTGATCTAGCATGCAGTTTTATGCATATGTCACACAGGGAGTTTCATACATTATCACAACCTATCAGCTCTATCCTTCAACCAAACTGTGTATTATTCACTATGAAGTACCTAAACATAGAATTTGCACTTTAGCTTATCCTACACACAGCTGAGTTAGTCTCAGTGAACTCCATTGTGACATACCCAAATAGTTTTCAACAAAACATCATCTACTCATTATGCAAGAAGGAACTGACCTTGCATGCATCATGGAAATAACCTTAACCCTATACCTATGAGGTCACTTGGTTCACCACCAGCCCAGAGTCTGGGGTGGATGGGAGGCTGCCATGATACTTGGAAGCTTAATCCTGAATACCAGGAAACCCCTCTGGCCTGGGACAGGCTATGAGGCCTTGTAACTTGTGTGAATCAAAGAGCTATATTGGGGATACTATTAGTACCCACCCTATTACATAATGGAATCCTTGACTGAGCTGGTTGAAGCTGTTTCAGATGGGGGGCCGGAGAACTCTAGGATTTAGCCCTGCAAGATACCAATATACATGCTGAAGTCATCTTAACAAACAGGCTTTGGATTTATGTTCTCCATAACTACCATAGGGATATGTCATGTTGTCACTGGTGCAAGGCATATGACAGGGGATACCTTTAATTTGGCATTTATAATATATAAATATAATTATTTTAACTTGATGATGTGAGCCGCCCCGAGGCTTCGGCGAATGGGGCGGCATAAAAATGTTTTAATAAATAAATAAATAAATAAATAAATAAATAAATAAATTTGTCTCTCTGTGTGAGAAGGGTGGTCTGGTGGGATGTAGAAAACAACCCACTGCCATGGTCAGACCATTTTCTGATGGAATTTGGGTTCACAGTGCCAGTCTTTCCCTGCAGGGGTAGTGGATTAATTTCTGGATGTTCTGGGCAATTTTCCAGTAGCTAGCACTGGTGATTCTGTTGAGGCCTTGGGAATGTCATGGTGCAACAGGTCATTGACACAATCACACCTGCATATCCATCCATCCATCCATCCATCCAATTTATAACCTGCCCCATTAGCCATACAGCTCCCTGGGTGGGTTACAACAACACAAAATAAAATACAAAATAGAATAAAATACAGATCAAAAGATAGTATAAAACAACAGTTATAAAGAACTACAATTACAAAGAACATTAAAACCAATATCAGATGCACCACAGTAATGACATACTGTGGTGCTTAGTAAGCTTTCCTCATTTACTGGGGAGCCCCAGTAAATCAAGACAAAAAACAGCTGGTGCATAAATGGAGTAAGACCAATCATGATAGCAATTAAGCATATGTAAGAATAGCATATGTACTACTGCACAGGGGTGAAGGTAACAAAGAAGACTTACTTTGCTGCCTCCATCAAACCTTTGAAGTAGCTTTCCAGCTGAACATTTCCAATTTATCTGAGGACTGCCTTCATCTAACCAAGTGAAGCTGATATTGAAATCCTTGGAGATCCACTGTGATAAGTTTGCAAGGCACTCAAGATAAACTAATTCATTCACTTTTATGCTGACTTGGACACTACTATTGAAACATTCTGTTGAAGTGTCCGGTGTATTGTCATGTCCTTTTTGTGGAATCAGTTTTGAATTTTGGCAGAGATGAACAAGATGCATCTTTATGACCCCTTTCCCCACATGCTCTTCCGTTCCTTGCCCTTCATAGTTTATTTAAGCTAGCCACAGGGGACTGATTGGATGGGCTGAGACAGTAGTGGATACATCACTGCATGACGGCATAGTTCCTATTGTCACATTCTGGAAAAAAGTCATCCCTGGATCCAGAGTTCTATACTAATGATCATCTGATCATAAATACATCATTCCTGAATAAAGTTGAATACTAAATATGTTACTGCCCATTGACTGATCCATGTTCAATGTCACTGTCATACAATATGGATGTCGTCATATATAACCCTAAACAACTTGGGGCCAGAATACCTAGCAGACAGCCTTTCATTTCATATACCCACTCAACATTTAAGGTAGTCAGAGGAGGCACTGCTGGTCATTCCAACATTAACAGAATGTTGCTACCCTCTGTGGCCCTTCTTGATAGCAGCACCCATCTTCTGAACAAACCTCCCCCAAGCAGTTCAGAAGGCAGGAAATGTTTCATGTTTCAAACATTATTTGGAAAGCTAGGCTTTCACTAGCATATCACTAAATTGATCATGCTCCATCTTTTACTGTTCGTGCATTGCTCTGTATTCTTTCAATTCAATTTGTTTTAAATATTTTATTTTAACTGTATTTCAAATGTGATTTTAATATTTGTAAACACAGTTCACAAATAAAATATAGGGTTTACTTCTATGTAGACATGCTCAAGTAGCACTCTTAGTTACTAGCATACTCTTAACTATTTTATCCATCTGCAACACAATTGTAGTAAGGCCACTGGAGTCACCAGCTGAGAACTTCTACGCACTAACGTTGCTGAACATTAATAAGAAATGCGCAAGATGTTCATGCATATTCCCACTCAAACACACGTGGCTTTTATAGAGAAATTGTGCTCTACAATTCCTTTAAGTTTCTATGCATGGTAAAATATATTTGCACTAAGTAAACTAATGGAGGAGGGCAAATTAGTGAAACTTATTCTTTATAGTAAAACAATTTTCAAATTCTGCTTAATTATATTATAATTAAGTTGCACATTGCAGATTCAAAAATAATTCCCTCATATCATGTTATACAAGGATATTCTGCACAATGTGCATCTCTGAGTAATTTAGTAACATCAGCATGACCAGTGTATTTGGGCCAAATAATCTACTGATTGATTGACATCAAATGAGTGCTTACTTTGCCAAACAGCAAACATGTTTAAAAAAAACCCAATAAACAAAGCTTCCATTCTGCTGTCAAGCCTATTTATGCTATCAGGTTAAATATAATACATCACATGGAGAAAAAAGCAATTCCAATTCCACCCTTTCTGCAAATATACTGATAATATATATCTACAATGTGTGTGAAAGTTACACATGCAAATGTCATTTCCTTCATCTCCCATCCTTTTCAGAACAGCAAGTGAAGTTCCAATGATATAGGCAAGTTCCAATGATGTTTGTGAGTATAACAAGAAAGCCAATTGCTGTTCTGCTTCCAGACCCTACTGCCTTTTGCTATTTTGTTTTTAAATGGGCCTTTAACAGGTTGGATTATTAGTTTATAGTCCCAAGTGCTGAACTGCAAAACATTTGCACTAACAGAATTCAACCAGTCTTCAGCAAACCAGGGCTAACTCTATATTTATTCATGATTATTATGCTGAACTGCAGTTCTGAAGAGTCATAATGAGCCACTGTGCCCTGGGCAAACATATAGTTGTCACTCTTTCAGACCATTATGTACCTAGCTTCAAAATAGGGATTTAATGATTTCCATAACAGTGGAAAGCACCTGCGGAAACACTAAACATCCTAGAAATGCCTCTGCATACTTAGAGGAGATACTCCTTTTGTAACCCAGGATCACTTTTTAAAGTATAAGGTAACTGCTTCTGAATTTCCACCATTTCTGGTCTTATTATCAAGTTTTCAGGTGAAATTTTAAAGCAAAAAGCAAGTTGACTAGTGCTAATTATAAATTGCCTAGTAATTTTTCACTTCTGGTGTTTTGTTTAAAGAAGCAAGTGGTGTGGACAAGAAATCTTGGACCTAATTGCCTGTTGTAACCTGTGCTCATGACCTCTCATTAACTTACCCTTGCCACAGAAGCTCATCATTAGCAAGATCCTGCCAGACACATGAAGCCAGGCAGAGGTCCGTTGCATTCAGGTATGACAAAATGGTAAAGCTAAGTTCAGGAGGCAACATTTCCAGGTTGATGAACCCTTCTTGCTCTTTTGATTTCCGAGTTTTCAACAGATGGTAAATGTCAATGCCTCCTTGAGTATGTTTCCGATGATTTGCATTTGAAACGTTATTAGCAGCTATCCTTCTACCATGCTCTCTGGAAAGATAGCTTTGTCCTGTGTATCCTTGGTGTTGCAGCTGTTGGTTCCTGGCCACTCTCCACAGCCCTTGACCCATCTGCAAGCCTGCAGGTTGTAAAGAGAAAAGTAGTTCAGTAAAATTAAAAGTTTACATAATTTCTATAGAGCTCAAGGTTTTTGCGCAGTATTAGTCATTCTTAACTGCAATCTAAACTCCAGGATCAGGCATGGGCAGCTGAAGTTACGACTGTGGTGTTTACAGATACCGGTCAGAGACTGTGCTATTTCTCACAAGTTACTGAGGTAACTGGCTCACTGACTAATTTGAGGAAGGGGAAGCTATTAGAAAGGATAAGAACTCTCAGTCCCCCAAATTCCCCAGCAAGCAGACACACTTTCAATATTTCATCTAATGCTATGATGCAATTGAGAATTCAATCCCTGAAACACAAAAACAAAGCACGAAATAATTCCAGACAGAAACCTGAATCAGGGATAGAACACATCTTCCCATGATTGCAGAAATGCAGGATAGGATATCTTAACTTTTTTTATATACAGTAAAGCCACTACTAGCTGCAGAATTAAACTACTCTGCTCATACAACTGCAGAGCTACCCTTGTAAACTGCCTTCTGACACAGTTCTCAGTTGTAAAAGTGTGAACAGCTCATGAAAAAGAAACAAATCACTTTTCTAAGGCCTTAATAAAAAAAATAAATTGCAGAAGCAGATGTAGGTAATTTAGAAAAATGAAGAAACTTGATTTCAGTAATATAAAGAAAAGAACAATAAGACTTTCCGAAACCACTCTTCCTCTAAAGCTTGGTAAGTTTGATATTATTGCAACCTGACCTACAAAATTTGTGCTGGTTCAAGTGTCAGCTTGGCAGGTCTCAAAGATGCTTAACTAACATTAGCAAAATTATTCTTCCACTAGAAGAAACTTATTATAAAAGCATTACTTATAGCACAAGTTTTCACAAACCACTGATGCCATAATATGCAATGGTCTTTTCAGGTGCCACAAGATACCTGGTTGTTTTGCTGCAATAGACTAACACGGTTACTTTTGTAGGAATTATTTATTCATTTATATTCTGCCTTTTTTCTTACCCAGAACTGAAAGCAGCTTCCATAATACTCATCCTCCTGCTTTAAGTCTTATCCCCACAACAACAGCCCTTTGTGGTATTATTGTGGTATACTCCTGTTGCTTATAGTGTGGAATCTTCTCAGACCTATAACTAATTCAATAGGTGCGAAGTATTTTCCAAGCCTTTTGTTCTATACAAAACCTGTTGTTCTTAAAAGTAGGCAGTAAAGCCAGAAAAATCTCAGGCACCAGTTTGCCTAGAAATTAGATGATGGCAACAGGGAATCTGAAATAAAAATTTCCCATCTCCCTGCACCAGGATCATGGGTTAAATATAAATTCTGTTACCTTAACTTTTGACACATCTGCAACCCATAAAACGCCAATGCAAGCAAACACTGAAGTCTTACAGCTCTTCTGGAAAGCACTCAGGCTTGCATTTTGGTGAGCCTCTAGGGGAAGAAAATTTAACTGGCTGAGGGCAGACACCAAGAACATGTCTGTGTGACCTTACATAAAATATGTTTCGCTCTTCCAAGTTTATTATAAGACAGGGTATTTTAAATTTGTGAGTTCTTAGTATATAAATAAAACTATTGGACTTCGTTATTGTGTTTGTTAACACAAAGAGAGGGCACAAATACTATTTTAACCAATATACCAGAGGTGTTTGAGAAAAGTGGGAAATCTTTATTGAAATTACTTAGTGAAAGATCCTATACATACTTGCTCCGGTGCCATCATAAGCATCATGCAGGTTATACACCCAACCAAATTTATTTCTCCTGTCCCTACCCCATTTTTCCTCCACCACGTCACAAGAGGCATTATTTTTTGTGATTTTTGGCTCCCCTTTCTAGGGCACCTACCCATCATGGCACCTCATAAGGTATAAGAGGCCAGTGGTGGAAGGAAACAGCATTCTCATTCTGTGTGCACAGAAGCACTTTCTACTCAGGGGAAAGCAATGATTCTGGCAATTATTTCTAAATACAATTTTTGTCAAACTAAATATAAAATGTTTTATGAGTTCCAGCCTTCAGGACTACCCCTTAACTGCTGGTTTAGGGCTCTGATTTTTCTTTACTTCTGTCTGGCACCAGATACTAGGAAGCAATGGCAGTGCCTATGAAAATGAACACTGGTAATGTATTCCTGGCAGTACCCACTAGGCTGCAATTCTCTACACAACTACATTGCTTTAATGCTGCTGATTTCATTGTAATTTAAGTAGCTTTAGCCTAGCAGTGGAAATAATTTACCCTAAATATCCATTTCCAGCATTTTTGGACAAGCAGCCATTCCATTTTTGTATTGTGGCTACTTATGAATTAGAAGAGAAATTAGAAAACTGCAGCACAGACATTTTGTAAAGACTTCCAAACATCAACTTAGGTTTAAAAAAAAAGTAGGAGCCCAGATGCAAAACTTAGTGACTTAGTTCGTTAATTCCTGCCCGTGCCTTCTGTTGCAGACTGCAATTAAAAAGAAAATCCTCCCTGAAGTCTAGTTCAACCACCTTGTAAATTAGGCACCTACAGTAAGTATTTCTATAATAGCTTGTATTTACTAAAAACGAGAGTGAAAGCTGTGTAAGCTCAGAGTTCCTCATCATAAAAGCCAGTCATTCTAGTGAGGCTTGACAGGCTTTCTAAATTCAATCCCAGAACTCCAATCTAGTGAACCATTCTAACCCCCAACATATATATATAGACACAATTTAAACAGTATCATTTATGATGTGTATATGTTGGGATGACATTTGTCAAAACAGTTCTTGTAAACCAAAGTTTATTTAGATATCTAAAAATGATTGACAACACAAAAAAGTAAGAAGTTCAATAATCTAGTACAGGAAGAATCAGAAGTTCACAACTGGCTCAACTACACCTTCTCTCCCTCTACCAGACATGAATTTTCTTGTCTATCAGCAAATAAACTCACAATAGTTGTACAGGCTGCATGGGTCAGGACAGAGTAAAGCCTTGAGAGCATAATGAGATAAAAGCCTTATATTGCCCATCCCTAATCAAGCCAGCAACAGAGGTTGTTTTTTTTTTTTTTAAAGAAGTGTCCTGCACCATTTTTATAAGAACAATAAATCAAAGATCTCCTGAACTGTGCCATACTAGTAGTTTAAAGTGAGCTCACAATGGATCACACACTGATATCAATATTTCAACTGTGGAACTTTGACATAATTGAGTACTGCTCTAGTTATTTGCATACACATATGTATGATCAACCAAGGCAGACACACCTTCAGGGAAACAGATGCTGAGTCATCTTGGACTTTATACATCACATTCTCATAGCAACTACTGCAAACTACAAAATACACAATTTACATCCTTCAGATCTTTTCAAAAACATCAACTATGAAGGGACAATTCATCACAGGGACAAGTTTTGGCCACCTCCTGGTGGAGGAGATACAAAAGGTCTATTTTGAACAGTGGAGATCTGAATGAATAGACAACATGGGAAACGTGTGCCTACTCTTCCTTCTGCATTATCACCACACCCATTGTGTTTCCTGTTACTTCTGTACAGTGCTCAGCACATGAATGCCATTAAATAAATTCGGAATGTAGGAAGCCTCAAATGGTGCACCTCCGTCAGTGTAGTGACTTACCATTTATTAACTATGGTACTTACAGGAATTTATAATAAATCAAAAAAGCGATGGGACTTGTTTTTGTGACACAGGCTCCTGATCCACTGCAGAACCAAATCACAAGCTATATATAGTCTAGAAACAACAGCAGCTTTTGTAATGACTACCAATGGAACAAAAGCTTCTCTTTTCAGAACAAATAACTGTGCCATTTTTGTGCCCTCAAAACATTCATTAGAGTTCTGAATTGTTTTGTCATGTGCTTCTCCTTGTTAAAAATCACAGGAAGAAAAACATTTTTTATTTATACACTAATTTGCTCTGGTTAAATTTAGGTGATAAGAATATACTAAAATGGAAGCAAAAATATGAAAGTTAAATGCCACACAATTCTTACAGGCCTGTCAAAATAAAAGCATTGCTTTTCTGATGTGTTGCCAGTTAGATTTTGGGTGATCATTAAACACAGGGCTTGGAAGCAGTTACACAAAATAAAGGGCTATTTTTCTGACAAGTCAATATCATAGATTAAGTTTTGTAATGGAAACTAAAATTCTAATCTTATGCATACTTAACTTTAGAGAAAGTCTCAGTGAACATGCATAGAATCATACTGTAAAAGGAGTAATGAGAATTTAAAATTAAGGTTTCTGAAATGCTCCCATGCTGGCTATAAGAAGACGCCCAAATAAAAAAGAACTTTAAAGTACTGATACATGTTAACAGTGATACCAAAAATAGAGTCTGTTCTACTTTGTTAAGTACAAACTGAACAGGCTGCACAGATAAAAACAGATTAACACATATTGCTACTAACCAATGATAGCTATGAAACTAGAAACTGAAATCCGCCTGCAGCTTGTCCAAGGATTTATCAGTGCATTTCTCCCTTCTAAGTAATTATTTTTAGGTATGCAATAATTCCATAATGGAAATAACAGAAACTCAAAATTTGAATGTATTGGATAAAACCTTGTGGCCTATTACAAATAACACACAGCAGAAGGAACAAGTAGCAAATAAAAGCATAATTTGTGTAAATTGGCTTTAAAAAGAACACCCCCATCCCCAGATGTTCTCTAAGCTTCACCATACACACATGCAAATGTAATAGTGCTATGCACACATGAGAGCAGCCTATTGATTAAATAAACCATGTGCTATTGGAGATGAGGTTAAATAAACTCTGGACCATCTATGCAAGTGATGGCGAACCTTGAAGAGACCGAGTGCCCAAACTGCAACACAAAACCCACTTATTTTTCACAAACTGCCAACACTACAGTAAAACCTGAAAACTGAGGTTTTAGTTTAGAAAAAACAACTCACAGCCAGTCCAAGCAAATATATATATAACCTTGGCAGCGCACTGACTGGCCATGTGAAAGCTTGGAAGAGTCCCGGCTAATTAGTCGGGGCTTGTGACATCATCGCGTGGCACCGCTACTCCTTTCCGAGCATGCGCATGGCCCCATGTGCGTTGTTACCTGACGCTCGGCTGCTGGGACGATTTTGCGGTGACTTGGCTCGCATGCCAAAAGAGAGGGCTTTGCTTGCCCACTGTGGTACACTTACCATAGGTTCACCACCATTGGCCCAACCCTACCCTTGTGCACTCCCCAAAGCCTAATATAGGGGTAAAATATCATAGAAAAGAGGGCGATTTTGAAAAAGCCTTCCTTGAGTAGCTTTTTCTGCACAGCTCAACATTTCTGCCCATTCTAAACACATTCCAACCATCAAAATCATGCCAGGACTCCTCATTTTTCTAAGCCTAACCCAGTGATGGTGAACCTTTCAGAGACCGAGTGCCCAAACTGCAACACAAAACCCACTTATTTATCGCAAAGTGGCAACACTACAATAAAACCTGAAAACTGAGGTTTTAGTTTAGTAAAAACAACTCACAGCCAGTCCAAGCAAATATATATCCCCTTGGCAGCGCATTGACTGGCCATGTGACAGCTTGGATGAGTCCCGGCTAATTAGTCGGGGCTTGTGACATCATTGCCTGGCGCCACTACTCCTTTCCGAGCATGTACATGTCTCCTATGTGCACTGTTATCTGATGCTAGGCTACTGAGGCGATGCTGGAGAGACTCGCGTGCTGACAGAGGGCTCTGTGTGCCCACTGTGGCATGCGTGCCATAGGTTTGCCACTACTGGTCTATGGGGTTGCTTAGCCCATAAACAACCCAACAACCTGGGCTTGGATATAACACTCCACAACCTACAAATGAGTTAATCATGGGTTGTAAAGTAAAAGTAAATGTCACATGTGTACTGCAGGCAGAACACAAACTCTTTCTTACTTGGGCATGACAAACCATGGCTTAACTGATGGGCTGTTATTGCATGCAAGGGTAGGTCTCAGCATTTCTCTCTTGATTTCTCTGATATCCTTAATATCCATTCTTCTAAAGTTTCCATGAAGTAAGTTACATTCCACACCTCATGAATGTACAGAAGTACCGAAGAGAGACCAAAGCCGTACACATGCAAGTACGTGTATACTCAATAATTTTTAATGGATATATAAAAATGCATACAAAATTGTAAATTCAAATCATCTGAAAGACCACCACCCTGTTCTGGCACACACATTATGTGATAGTAGCATTACCAAGGAACATTAAACCACTCATTTGTAATGCAGTTTTTGTAGTGATGCTCTGATCTGTCTGTCCCTCTGTACACACATGCACACACGGCTTCTTAATTAAGCAGATTCTGGTTTGATTGATTTTACCCTAGTTGCCTATTTTAATGTTTAATTTCTATATATCACCATGGAAAATTGGAGAAGCAGCTAAATAAATGATAAAATTAAAAACTAACAGTACAATTCTATATAGAACTTTTCAGAACCATGATTCATTATTTTCAATGGGGCATGTACAGCCTAACTGAACATTTTGCCAAAGCCAAATTATATTTCCTTAAGTGAAAACAAATGTGTTCCAAAATGTACTCAAGAGTTGGCAAAACACCACGTTTTGAAAACCTGGGGGCATTTACTTACTGGGCAGTATACAAATTTGACAAAATAAATAAATCACTGATATTGCCACATTAGATGGAGTCCACAAAGCATTATTAATGAACAGCCCAATCAAATGCAGAGTTTGCCATGGCCAACAATGCTTAAGTCCAAGTTGCAGATCTACAATGCACAAATATGATGCAATACTCTGCACATGAGTTGCCAATGTCTGAGACACTGCTTTGATTTTGGGTATAGGAATCTACTGTGCAATCCCAGTAGGTGTGGCACAAATTGCACTGGCTCACCTTCAAGCTTGGCAACTCAATCTCAGAGGAGGAAAAGGGGGTGCTTTAGTGCATGGGAATGGTAGGAGGCTGCAGAGGCCAGGATACAAGCTATCCTGATGGCTTTCCAGTCTCCTTTCCCACACTTCAAAAGCACTTTGGCTGAAGGGACTGTTTAGAGAAAAATGCAGGAGGGGAGATGCAGATTATCTTCACTTTTCCTCCTACCTTCCATAGAATGCTCATTTGCTTTCAGCTCTGAGAGTTTTTAATAACTGAGGATATAATCTAGAGCATTGCCACAGGATACAACCTTATGCATGTTTAGACAGCCGTTAGCTTGCCAGTAATGCTGGCAGTTATAGACTTTTAAAAAATCTAAACCTGCATAAGGATGCACCATTGAGTCACATCTCATCCACTGTCATACAAGCAAAAAAGGACCTACGCCTAAGTGCCCTTGCATAAGTACTGGTAATCACTCATTACCTTGCACAGACACAGTTCTGATATTGTACCAAAACAACACCGATGGGACATCAGTTCAACTACCCACACCTCTCTCTCCTTGTATTGTTCACATCCCAGCTGGTTCTTATAACATTTTTGTATAAGTAACAATTACTATCAAGAGCTACTCCCCCCCCACCTTTCTTCCTCATCTTCTTTCCTTTCATTATCTTAAGGGTTGTTGTGTTTTTATTGGTGTATAAGTCACAACAGTGTCTTTTTCAACTGAAGTGGGGGTAAAATGCTTTAAAATTCAATACATTGCAGTATTTAAGTCTAAGAAGTGGACAGAGAAAAGTACAAGAGAAGAGATCAAAGAATGGCAATGCTAATCATGTGTCTAGGAACAGGATTAGAGCACCACTTTGTACAACAGCATTATTTCAAAAAAAGTTCAGTAACAAACAGCAACCATGCCATGTTTACCCTTCTCAAATGGGAAGGGAAGTAAAAAGAGACACAAATAGAGCTGTCAATAAATAGAGAAAAACAGGATGAAAAATTAGGAGAAAAAAATCACTTTAAAAGATCAGAGCAAAGAGTGAGTATGTGTACAAGGAAGGGGAGACGGGGAAGAGGAATTTTAAAAGTCAAGAAAAATTGTATTGAAAGGAAAAACAGAAAAGATATGAGAGAAATAGAATATCAGGGTGAGGAGAGAAAAGGTGAGCACCAAAACAAATAAGCAGCAGAAACTAGAAATGTGTGGATTATTAGGGGCAGGAAGCAGACCTCTAGTTCAAGCATCAAGTGCTGGGAAGACAAAGCTCCCTATGTTGAATTTAGAAATGTGAAACCTTCATCATCATGCATGTGCATCCGTTTCACAACTATTGCTGCCTCCTCTCTTCTTTCTCTTCCTTCGGGCTTTCTTTTTGAAGTCATGTGCTAATCCCTCCCTTTTCCTCAAACTGGTGAAGAGAAATGCCATGAACTTTAATGTGCCTGTGTGCTCCAGAGCCCCTGCCTTACTGGCTTTCCTGCTGCTGCTACTTCATCCTACTCTCTGCTATAGCATAAGAACAACTCATTCAGATGGTTTCTGTTAAGTTTCACAGAAAACAAGGGACCAGGGTGCTTCCAGACAGGCAGAGCTGCCAGCCGGGTGTGTTCCTATACTTAACAGCAATTGCCTAAGTATTTCCTTCTGAGCAGTGCAGAATAAGAAAGGCCCACATAGCCATTCAAATATCTCAGAAAGTACTGGAGATGCTGAGCAAAGTTACCTGGGGGCACAGTAACCCAGCTGTGGCCTAAAGACACTGGATTCTAGATCAGAAGTGGGAAGAAGATCTGGACCTACCAGAAGATAACTGGATGAACTGCAGTAAATTGGCAAAAAGTTTTAATTCCCAATTTTCAACAATAGCAACTGTTATGTCCTGAATTATGCTACTGAATGAACACCTGGTATAATTAGGAGTGGGGGGTTGTGTGTGGGAGGACTGCAAGTTCATTTCTGGTACACAGAACACATTTCTGAGGCCAGAATATTTTTAATTCTAAAGGTTTTGTCTGTCCTACACGTTGTTTAGACAGACAAAAATCCTGCAACTCCTAGCATTCTCTAGTCAGTCACATTAGCAATATCCTACCAATTCGATGATTTCAGCCTAACTTTGTACAGGAAGAGAAGTCACGCAAGTAAAAAGACTTGTGCACAGCTCCCAAACTTCAGATGAAGAACATAATTATAGAAAAGTGGAAATCTAACATTACTTTGTGATTGGAAAGAAACCATGAGGGTAAGAGATGGTGACCTTCTGTTGCATCTTTAGAGGTTTGAAATTCTGTCATTAGTGTGCCATTTTATGAGGGAGTTGCAAAGTGCCCTTTATATAGTTAAGCTCTTTTCAGTAAAGCAGTAGTAAATCCCAGTTCTTTTTACTGAAAACAATCCTATTCCACTTTTTATCAAAGATTTCAATGCAGCCAAAGCAAATGGAAACAAGCACAACAGAAGTGTTATGACTAGATACACCTAAATTAACTTTACTACAAGTTGTACTCACTTTCCTCAGTTCCATCCTAGTTGTTAATTTAACTTCTTCTGCACATTACAAGAGCTGGTAAAAATTAACTGTGTCGCTACATCTGAACCACTCTGCGAGTTCAAGAATGTGGCTCCTTTAAGGCTTACGGGAAGAACCAGACTTTGCAATGAAAAGACATTTCCACGTTAAATGGGTAGGCGTGCGTTAAAAGTGAAGGGACACAATTAGGTGCGGAAGTTTCAACCACGAAAGTCTACTTAGAGCTGTCCCCAGTTGCACTATAATGTTCAGAGCGTCTAAGGAAAAACGGACAGGGGGGGGCAACATCAGCAAGTCCCACCCTCGCTTCGCGATTGGCTTCGAAGGCGACCTACACAGCAGCTGAGGCCCACAATTGGTCAAGGCCCATGCCGTTCCTGTCCGCGGGAAAGGGGGAGTCTAAAACTCACATTACCTGTGCTAGCTCTGGTCCCAACCGCCGCCGCGACGAATCGGATTCAAATCGGGTGCGCGAGCCTTATAAGCAGGAGGGGAGCGTGTCAGGCAGCCTCACACGGCTGATGGAGGAAACTAGCTTCCCAGTGGGCTTCCGGGTGCCTGCGCAAAAACATGAGTCGTCACCTCTGCCACACATACACACACACAAGCTCCTGAGTCTTGACGTTTGGGATCGCTGCTGCAGCTCCCGTCACGGCCTCGTATGTTGTTACCGGAAGTGGCGTCCTTCCAAACGTGGAAGTGACCGATGGATTCGCATTGGCAGATTCATTACCGGCTCCAACTGCTTTAACGGTCTTGATTTTGCCCCCGTTTTTGGGAATGAGTGGCGATAAGCCATCCGCAGAAGAGAGCGCTGCGATTGCGGGGCCCTTCGGACGAAAGAAGTGGGCGTTTGCCGCCCGGCGCTGACCAGTGTGGAATCTGCACGGGGCGAAACGCAAGGTGGCTGGGATTTCCCGCGGGAGCGCTCAAATGCCCGCTAAAGGGAAACGGGGTGGGGGGCGCTACCAGAAGCGCGAGCTGGGAAGGGGCGCGAGCTCGCTGCAGCACTTCCGGCCTCCCCGCTCCTTGAGGCGCCCTCAGGCGAAGCCACCCCGGAGCCCGTCGGAGTTGTGCTACTGAATGTCTCGATAGGTCAGGCTGAGGCATCCCAGGAGCAGAAGGCACAGAGTTCAGGGCCAGGACCTCGTAGTTGTGTTCGAGGTCGTTAATTACTCGCCGAGGAGGAGGAGGAGGGGAGGTAGCTTTGGGGAGGGAGAAGGGAGCCCTCCTCATCAGAATGTGCGGGGGGCTGCAGGGATGGCCATGACGCGACATCGCGCTCCTCCTCCTCCTCCCTTCTCTTAGGCAATCGGGTCGTGTCAGCCCCCTGTCCCCCCGCCAGTCGCATGTCTGGCGGTAGGTCAAACGTTGTTTCAATAATGGGCAGTGTGGTGGCGCCGTGTTGCTCTCCTTTTGCCTACGGTTCAATTGATTGTCAGGTGTTTGGATTGCCAGGCCCTAGCGCCCCTGATATTCTGGAGCGGAAAATGTATCCCTCTTGTATGCAAGATAGGAAGGAGTTAGCGCTTTCGGGTGAGTGGGGTCAAAATATATGCGACTGGTTCTCCGTAAGTACGTGAACAGCGAATCATCACTGCATCGTGCCAAATGCCCACGTGAGAGGGGGCATGCATCCCGTGGCTTGTATATATGTCTGCTTCTGAAATAGAAGCTGCTGAGTAGAGTGGAAATTAGTACCAAGTTGTACATTTCTTCCAGTCTAGTACTGTCTGTGTCTCCTCAAAAGTAATACCCACTGAAATGAATGGTCTGAGTATGCATAGGATTGTAACCATCACTGCCCAATCTTGTGCATGCCTTCTGAAAGTAAATTTCACTGAGATCATTGGGATTTGCTCTCAGGTGTGCAGGACTGTAGTGTGTTTCTGGGGTCAAAGCTTGCCAGTTTTGAGACAGTTGATTTGGTTTTCACAATGCTAAAAATACCTTTAATCTGAAATACAGTCCTCCTGAATGCAAGATAGAAAAGCAATAGATTGCACTGTTAACTTAATATTAACTAACTTGGAAAATAAGCCCACTGAGTATTACAACTCAGCCCTAATCAACTCAGTTTCCTTGAACTAAGTGTGTAATGCAAATAAGAATACCACTTCCAACTAAAACATACATCTGATTTTTAAAATAAAGCTTTTATTGTTTCTAGCCTATATTATTGAAAAAAGAATTATAACATGGCTACAGGAGACTTAAAGGGAAACTTGCGTAAGATCGAGCAAGGACTTCGGCTTTTAAATTATCCCAAAGATGTGGACTATACTGGGTAAGTAGAGACATATATTTGTTTTAAAACTGCCATTGTTTACATGATTTGATGGCAAAGGTACTTAGAGCTTTTCTAATAGAACACTGTGGGAACTTCTGATAAGAGTCAGACTATAGAATTTCCTGCCACAAAATGACCACCAACTTGGATGATTTTAAAAGGTGGTTAGAACAAATTCGTGAAAAAAATAATGTGCTTATTAATATAGCCATCATAACTTGATGGTTATATATTATATTCTATATTTAAGAACATATGCATTGCAGTACTAGTTGCTGGGAAACATCAGTAGGATGGTGTAGTGGTGTTCATATCCTGCTTGTGGGATTGCTGTAGAAATCTGGCCACTTTAGGAATAGAATGCTGTACTATTTGGCTTTAATTCTGATCCAACAGGGTTTAGTAGGGCAGATACCACAGCTGATTATAAAAATGAATTGAACAAAATTAAACTGTTACTGTGATACAAATTAAGTTTTAAATATTGTAATGAACTTTTAACAACAGCAGGTAAAGTTTCTATATATTTGTGATTTAGGGAATGTTACATGGAATATCACCCTTCAGTCACTCAGTTAAAAAAAAAAAAATAGCCACAATCAGTGAAAAACAAAAGTATCCTAAATGCTTTCCCTCTTTGGAAGCAATAGTAGAAGCCTGTATTATGCTGTTATGTCTGTAGTTTGCCTCTATGCTGAATGTGTCACTTGAACTGGAATGTAAAGCCAAGTATTTATTTAGGAGGTACCTGACTAAATAGAACCTTTATTCTATTTCCTGGGTCTTTTTAATGGAGAACAGTAACAGTTATGACTAGTATTTATCTCATACGAGGGTGGTTGCAGTTGTCAAGAAAATGATTGGGTTGTACTTCAGAAACCTAAAGTACCCTTTAAATTTCAGTATAAAACCTGTCAGCTCTGAATTTATGGATAGTCTATTTCTATCATACACTTCTGCTAGTATGGTAGGATCTAAGAAGCTTGACTTTTCTATAATTTATTATCTAGTTTCTTTCTGTATTACAGACTAGCAAAGGGTGATCCATCTGTATTCTTGCCTATCATCAGTTACTGCTTCACATCTTTTTCACCACATATTACTGAACTTCTGGTAGAATCAGGTGTGGAACTAATAGCAAAGAATGACCTACGTTTTATTGATGCTGTTTATAAGGTATTTAAAGTTTTTAGTATCCTGATGTAACACTGATGTTTTCTTGTAGTGATGAAAAGGATAAAACTGCTGTGACATCTTGGATATCACAAGCATATATAAAAACTGCCACTTCATTCATAGTGCACTGTTCTTCCATGACTGTAACAGATTGGCATGTATTATGTCATGATGCCTTTAGAGGCAACACCTTAGCTGTTAAGATATATTAAGTGGAAAGTGGAGTATGTATATCTATGCACATGTGGGTTTAAGGCTTGCCTTGACAGCCAAAAAAACAAAACAAAAACAAAAAACCCTGCCCTTACTTTTCCCACTAAATTCATACTGATTGGTTCACATGACATGCAACCTACCATGAGTTAATTTACCCACAGGGGCTGTTTTGTCATGCTAGGTGCCTGGCTTGCCATGGCTTCTTGTGTGAACCCAGGCTGCAGATGCTGTTTGATGATTAGATAAGCCTCAGGGAGCCCTAAAATAAGCCATGGGTTATTTGGGGGTTGTCTAACCCTCAAACAAGCAGTACCACCTGGGTATGCACAGCCTGACAAGCCATGGCAAGCCGCTGCAGATGTCATGCAGAAATGGTGCCTATCACAACACTATAACCCCCGTGTGCAAATTAAGCCACACTGTGCTTTGTTTAATGTAAACCAGATGTTTTCTCTGTGAGATCAGGAAAATTCCTCTGCCCAGGTTTGGACCTGGAAAGGATCCAAACTTGTTTGGATGTGTTTCGTATGCCTTGGAACATGGCAGCCAAAGAACCCCCTTCCTAGCTCCAGAGTTGAAAAGGCTTCTGGTGGCTTGCCAGCTTGGTCCTGGGCTGCTACAGTACTTCAAATAACTCAGCACTGCAAACTGCTCTGTGTTACTCCATAACCATGAGCTGTGAGAGGCAGGATTGGGAGGGAAAAAAGTCATGAAGAGGCTTGGAACTTGCTGTTTTTTTAACTGCGTTCCTGCTTGTTATAAGTGGTTTACATGTCGTCTTGCAATAAAACAAAGTGCATAATCTATCAACTGTGAAATCCATCGACACCTGTAACATAAACCAAATTAAGAAAAAAAACCTATACAGTTTATTAATTCCCCTTTAAAGCTTCTAAATCTTTCTCCAAATCTAATTATTTTCTTAAATAATTAACTCTTAGGCACACTATTTCAGGTAAATAATATAAACAACTGGTTCCATAAATAAACCTATTATACTGTACCTTCATTTCTTAATATTTTTGAATGGAAGATGCTTTAATTAAGGCTTCAACTGCTGATTAAGGTAAGAATCTATAGGAGTGGGAGAAATATAATCCCAGTTCCTAATAACTGTTAGGCTAGTTAAAATGCACAATTTTACTGATTAAAGGCTAATTCCTTTTTCTCTATTACTTGCAGGTTCTCCGTGATCACTTCCAGTATAAGCCAGTTGTATCAAAACAACAGTTCCTCCAATATGGCTTTGCAGAGAGAAAAATGCAGATTGTTTGTGATATTATTAGTTCAGTCTATAAAAAGCATAAAGAATTAAGTAACATGAATAAGGTACTGAAAATTGTTAGCTATCTGTGTTCCTGCCTGTACATTTTTAATAATTTACTGTTGTACTAACATGTCAGCTATTAGCTATGCTCTCAAGGCAACTTATTGAAGTAGACTGAGATTTGGTTGGATTTTTTTCTTTTATTCTTGATTAATATAAATGTACAATTTCCTCCCTCTCAAGACTTAAGTTACTGAAATAAAGTTATTATAGATGGCTATGTTTTGGCTCATTTTAGTTAGAATCTTGGGTTTTTGTAAATGTGCTAAAGTTCACAAAATGCATTCTTTAAAGGATGAACTGTGTATGTCAGAGCCAGCATTGTAAAAGCATACTTCCACTCACCCAGCTGAACTTGTTCTTTGTCTCTTGCACTTCAAATAACCAGCTTTAAGAGCATCCTCAATGCTTTTCAGGCTAAAGGTGAGAGAGGGAAAGTGAATTAATACTGATAACAGTTGCTGTTTTACAACTGGATGCTACGCAGTGCATTTACCTTTCACTTTGGGAGCCCTAAATTTTATTTCACCAAGATGCCTTATTAGAACTTAATCCATGCTGTGTATGCATGTTGGCATTGCTAACAATGGGATAAGATTATTACATGTTTCATAGGTGAAATTCCAAACACGAAAGAGAATACCTTCTGTTAAAACACAACCACAAGTAAATTCTTCTAACCTTCTAGATCCTTCAACTATCTGTACTGTGGATTTTCAGCAGGTAGGAGCATTTAACATTATTTTAAACTTGCAAACAAACCAGGATAGTCCTAAATTTGATATGAGGTGATTCAAGCAAAGTTACACAGCTATCAGAGCTGAACACATTGTGCTCAATATGAGGTCAGAAACATCTGTTATTCTTATTGTTGTAAGCCGCCCCGAGGCTTCGGCGAATGGGGCGGCATAAAAATGTTTTAATAAAATTAAATAAATAAAATCTGCTGTTCTCTGCTATGACACACCCCTATAGCTCCTGACAGGTGTCTATGCAAGTCCATTCATAAGAGAGGGTGATATCTGTGCTGTTCTGTCTCTCATACTTCATGTGTATTAAGACTAGGAATGTGTGGAAACTGGAAAACCCATTCTGCTGAAGCTTGATCAACTTCTGAAACATTTCTGATGCAGCAACTTAAAGCAGGGAGCATGCTTTCTGCTTAAATGAATTTACTTTAAATTTTTGTGCAAACTTTGCACTGAGGACTGCATATCTCTAGTAAAATTTGTGATGTGCACAAATTATATTTGAGGAGTAGTTCTTGTAGCATTTAACATGAGAAATATGAATATATCCTATCACAGCACATGCATGCTCTGCCTTGGCCTTTGAATTTTCTGACAGTTAATTTCATATTTGGGCCTCTACAACTTGCACAGGAAAGGACAGAAATGCTTACAAAATTCTCTGGTTTTTAAAAGAAAATAATCCAGATTACAACTAATTGTTTAAAAAGAATTTTACATGTGTTGGCTTGATTCCACATCAGTAACTTGGTAGGAGTGAGGGGATGACAGAATGGAATCCATGAGTCTGAGTCCTACCTAATTCCTAATGAAGCTTAAGTTATGCACTACTTAGGAAATTCTGCCACCTAGTGACTGAAGATAGTATTGCAAGTTTCAAACACACTAAACTATTTGCAATTAATGTGTTGTAAAAGGTAAATAGACCTGAGCTGAACAACTTCAGGGTCCAATCAGTATGCATTTCAAGTTTCAGGTGTATGGGTGTCACAGTGTCTATACGATAGTTCTGGCAGACTGACCCTGTTCACATGATTATAGTTTTGCTTAAACTTCATGATTTTCTTAATGGACTCTTTGCTTTTGCTTTGGATATATTTTACATGCAAAGAAAGCACAAGTAGAACGTCATAAAAGTTTATTGAATGCAAAGATCCCTGAAGAAGCATTGGAGGAAGAGGAGGATGAAGTTCTCTGTGGTGTTGATGTTTTGGACAGTGGCACTAGTGTTTTGGACAGTGTACATGAACGGGTAAAGCTATTTTAACCTTCTTTAGCTACTTCCTGTTGAAATGACATTGAAAAGTATTGGCTTTTTTGTGGCACAAGGAGGTAAATGTACACTTAATAGTGCTTGGTTGAGCAAAATTTTAGGTGAAATAGCTTGTGTATAACTGTTACAATGTAAAAGTTAATGTCTATAGATAGTAGACTATAAAAAATGTGAAGTGGATTAGATCTAGAGTTCTTACGAGTAGAACTGCACTTACCGGGAATTTCCCCTGTGAAAAGTTATCAGGGAATCACAGTTTTTCTTCCCCCTTGTGTCATTACAGTTCCTCTCTTCAGAGTAGATATTTATAGGAATATGTTGCTAGACAATAGCTTCCCGTAATTTCTTGGTTGATCCCATGACTGAATGGGATTTGAATCCAGGTTTAGATTAAACTTAAAGTTAAATGGTGCTGTCAAAAACTCTCCTACGAACTTTAGAAAAGATTGATAAATGCACTGCATGATGGAAAGGCATAAGCAGGTAGCTGGTAAACAGTTATATTAATGGTGTCATTGGTCCCTCCATGGAGGAAATGGGACCTCACCTCTGGCCTTGCCCCTTGCTTCCCTCACTTGATTTAGCACCAAAGGGGGCTAAGGAGCAAAGGTTATCTAAAACAATGTGCTATGTCTTAGATGAATGAAGTAATCCTATTTGCAGGCTTTGGAGGATAGTAGTGAAATAGAAGAAATGAAGAGCCAACTTGCTGAACTGCAGGATAAATTTAAGAAACTGAACTGGGTGGAAGATAAGTTACATGCTTTGGAAGAGAAATTGCAGGGGAAGATTGTTATGGATGAGAAGGACTGGAATAATCTACTGAGCAGGGTCTTGCTCCTTGAAACACAGCTGCTACTTCAGTCTAGAAAGGTAATGTTTCACACTTCTATGTTTAACAGTTATGTAACAAATTTCATATTCCAAGTGGTACAAAATGATCAATATACATATTGTGCATTGTAATGGTTTTTACTGAAAAATAACAGTGCTGTTTTTCCAAAACTCATTACTACTTAAGCATAAAACTTTATAATTGTTCTGTATAACCTCTATGACAAGCCTGTGGAAAATACAAGAAATATAAGTGTTATTATATGTACATTTGTTGCTAATGCATTTTAATGAAAAAGATTGTTACTGCATGTAGGTACTTGCCATGTTTTCTATGCAGGATTACTTAGAACAAACATGGGTTTTCTTTCTTCCTTGACATTTTCTTCTGTAACTTTAGTAGTTGACCTGAACGATGAAATGTATGTGTATTGTTATGAATGCATATTAGTTTCTGGTTTCTAGCAGTTCTTTTAAACTACAGGGGCAGAACCGAAAATCAGTGTTGTGAGAAGGATAGATTTCTGTGCTTCTCTTAGGACAGAAACAGGGACTCAGCTGGTGTTATTCCTCCTGATGCCAGTAGAGTGTTTGCATGGCATGCACTATGGGGTGGCATATACCATTCAGAGCCTCTTAACTGGGATGTGGGATACTGTCTTTTCTTCCCAGTGCAATCCAAGCCCTGAGCCATCTTTATCCCTGCTGTTGTGTCTGATAAGAGATCAAAAATAAGCAGAGATTCATATAGGGTAGAAGCTTAGAAGCCAAGCCTTGCCCCTTGGAATTACTCAAGGAAGCTCTGTTGGCCGATTGCAGAACCTCTGCATGACAGCTTCTGTAGCCTTATTAACATAACTCCAGGGAATTGCTAACAGGAGAACTTCTGGCTGTGATGTTGTTCCATGAATTGTTCAAGCATTTGTGTCGTCATTGTGCTGCTGTATGCAGTATCAATCCATCTCTGGATTTGAGATCTCTGTTCTTGCAGTGTTACAATGGGTCAGAAAAAGCCTTTCTGCAGAAAGAGGTCTTCTGCTAGCGGATGGGTACCTCTGGATCAAGCCACATGATTTTGGTTCTTTTTAAAGTTGAGAGAGAAATAGCTAATAACTGGCTGTCACTGCTATTGGAATACAGTTTTTTTAGACAGAATGTGATCTGCAAAAAAGCATTTGTTCAATTTGCTTCACATTACTCATAGTTTGTAGGTTAGCGATAACCATTGTTCATCTAATTTGAAAATTGTGGTAAGCTGTTTGGAGGAGACCAGGAGGAAAGAAGCCATTGCATTTTCTTTGATAGGTTATGTTTGAAAAGTGCCTATTCTGGAATATTTTGTTACAGGAATGTATTGTGACATATTTCACTGATTAAAAAATATCAAAACAGTTAGCTAACTAAATCTTGGAGAACCTAACTCTTTTTGAAGAATTCTCTTATAAATGACAAAATGTCCTATAATTTCAGGATGACTTCTCTACTGAGTTTAGTAACATGAATGAAGAAAATACCTCTAGTAGAAATGTAACTCCAGTTTCTCTTGGTGAGTGTTTGATATATTGCCCAGCATACTTTTGGAACTTTGCTGTGATGTTCTAAGTTTAAATGTGAAATCTGTATATTTTCTTGTCAAACTGAAATCTGTATATTTTCTTGTCAAAAAATCCTGCTAAATGCTGTGAAAAAGCTTGTTGTAAAAGAAACACTTTCTTTTGACACTTGACAAAATTCCATGCCCCCATAAGTGGGCGTGCTATAGTTTTTCTTAAGCACCTAGAGTCTTTGGAAAGGGTGGAAAAAGTAGAGGACAGTGGAAATGATCAGCTCCACACTTCAGAACTAGAGGTTCTTGCTACAATGGGGGTAATATACTTGCTACTCCCTTTCAGAAACAAAGATCTTTTCCTGGCATTTTCAATTGACAGCTTGCCATTTGACATCTGTCAAATGAGAAGCAGCATTTTGCAGCCTTGCTTGGTCAATGTCCATGGGCAGTACCTACTGTTCTTTGAAGCAAGGATTACAATCCCTTACAAGTGTACACCTGTGGAAGACCACAATATAGCCTTTGTCCCTTCTTTTCTGATCTGTGATGCGTATCATTTCAAGAAGATAAACATCACAACTTTCAGTTTTCGAATCTCAGCAGGAAACCCTTTTAACCCTTTTCTCTTGCACTGCTTAGAATTGAAGAGAATAACAAAGTCAGACATCTTTCATCTTCTCTAAAACATTGGCTAGTAATAATTTACTTCCTCATCTATGCAAGTTGAAATTTATTATATGATTTGCTACACTTGCTGTCTGTTGGCTTCCAGATCCACCTTGAAGTAATACCTTCTACATCATATCAGTATTCTCACTGTGGAAAATTGTCATTTGCTGGGTTCTTTATGAGAACTCTACGTAGCATTTTTATTCATCAGTAGGAACTCATTACAATAACGCTGTGGTCTTCCTAATACAAAAGGGCTTGTATGACAAGATCCTATTTCTCATACAGATCCACAGTGCCCACTAGAATACTGTCCAGTTGACAACCTGCTGTACAACCTGAATAGTTTTGTTTAGTCTTATCTCACTTGTTTGTCCTCCAAAATGTGAACAAAGCCTTAATAGGCCAACCTCTTTGGACTTTTAGATGTCACAGTTGTTAGGAAGGATGGGTTCAGCTACTATATAGCTTTCTGAGTTGCTGGCTAGACCACTGAGTAAGAAATCAAAACTATTGTATTCTTGGATAAGAGTCACCATCAGTCCCTGCAAAAGGCTGACATTTACTGAACAGATACCCCCTCAGTTTTTCCAGAGTTTTTCTATTTACTGTTTAGCAAAAAGCCAAAGACTTCTTCTGATTCATTTTCTCTCATTCTCTCTGCAATAAACTCAACATAGGCATTGAGATCCAAGATTCTGCTCAAATAAGTAATGTGACTGGTTATACTGACTCTTTGATTTTATTTGGCATTCTGTGTATGTGTGTGATTGTTACCTTCCCTGGATTTTTTTTTACTAAATACATTTCTTTTTATATTTGGACATCTGGTTCTGCTATAAAAGGGAATTCTCACTGAACTCTTCCCCACATGAAAGACTGGATGGTTATAAGGCTGCTGCTTATGTTTTAAGATGTTTTAAGGACTTTGGTGAGCTCTCTGTTTCTGGCATTTGGGAGAGAAAGTCCAAATCACCTTTCTATTTTCCCCCCAGCTCCCCTGGCTAAAGGGAGAGTTCCTTGGCACCAGAATCATTGTCATCATTATATTACATTTAAAGCCTGCCCTTTTTCCCTCTTGCAAGGAAACCAAGGTGGTTTCTTTTTCCCTTTCACAATATCTGCTCTGTGAGGTAGGTTAAGCTGAGTGTCACTGGCCCAAAGTTACCCAGCTTCAGAAACTTGTCTGTCAGCTGGACAGGCTAGGGTGTGTCAGGAGGTTCAGGTTTACTTTTATTGTAAACGATTTCAGAGAGCTATTCAGCTAATGAACAGTATAAAAATATCCAAAATAAATAAATGACTGATGACTATTTTTAAAAAAAATATAACTTCATGAGAAAAAGATGCCCACCAGGAGGAAAATGTATCATCCCTCCCAGTATCATAACAGCATAAGTCAAATGTATGATACCATTCATGCTGTCTTTTGTGTTGAATTTTAAACTGTTCTGCAAGATAACTAGGAAAAGGTCTTAGGAAGACGTTATACAGGCAGTAATTAGTTTTGAATAATGATATTTGTATCAGGTGGCATTGTTACTAATTGCAACAGAAATTGTGACATTCTTGCCTAAACTTAGTAGGTTGTTTTTATATTGTAATTATGTTGTACCACTCTGCAATAGTGTGAGAGAAATATCTTGGGAGTTTTACTAGTTCTTTTCTCTAAACTTCTCTTGATTTATGTTCTGTAAATCAAGGTGTGTGAGAGCAAAAAGGCAAAGGTGATCTTTAAAATGAATGCTTCTTCACAGAGAAAGAGAAGGTCGAGCTGCCAGAGAGTCTACATCAGTCGTCTGGGTACGATTCACTATTATCTGCAGACCCATCTCCCAAAGCCACTGTCGTTAATAATCCTGTTCTGTCAGAGGTTTCAAAAGTAAGTTGAAACTGACAAATACTAGCTAATTTTCTTTGGCAGAATTAAATGTATTTGTTTGCGTTGTTGCTTTGGGGGCTGGTGGGTAACAGTAAAAATTTATTGAAAAGCACTTTTGGTGAATTAACTGTGGAAAAAATGGTGTGTCTGTATATAGTTAAACTTTGAACAATGTGGTCTTTGAAGAATGCACGTGATCTTTTGCTTTTAAATTGCAGGAGACAGCAATACAAAGGATGGAAAGAATAAGCAAAATGTAAGTAATAGAGTAAAAGAAAAGGGCTAGACAAATTTATTTCCCGGTAGGGAATTGTTTGGGTTCAAAACATATAGAGAAACTACATGCATTTTCCAAAACTTCAAAGGTTTTGTGGCAGGTGTGACATTTCCTAAAGTCTATATTGGATAATAAATCCAGCTACAGTTTTGTGTTTGTGGGATGAGTCATTATTTTTATTTCCATCAAATCACAACATTAGGTGAGTTTAGTGGGTTTTTTCTAGAAATTATAGTGTTAATTTTATTTATTAGAGATGAATTTTTTTAGTAACATTTTACTGGAGGAGATCATATATTTTCCTTCAAACAATTACTCTTGAATTCTACATTATGATAGTTTGATATTTTGTAGCAGTGGTGTCTCCTCCTTGATACTGCATTTCTTGAATCTAATGCAATTCATTTTGGGTTTTTTCTTTGAAAAATTAGTGTTTTTTTAATGCTTTACACATCAGCATTTTGTTTCTGTTACCATATTTCCTTTTTTCTGTTGAAGCTTATTGACTCTTTAATATAATTGAAAAATCCAGTGGCTGCTTATTTAATAAAACTATTCCGTAAGAAGCCAATTTAATTTGCCCTGTTTAACTAGCCTAGTTGTATGATATTCTCAGGATTGAAGAAACCTCAGAGTTGTTGAAGACCTCAAGTAACACCTCTTAAGAGTATTCTGCCCTGCACGGCCTGATACCTGAAAGCAATTATGTGTGTCTGTAAAACTTTTAGAGCTATTTGACTCCTTTTGTGATTTCTTCCTTAATGAAATTATTTAAAGCTATTCATTTTATGAAAATAAATATTTTGTTATATCTTTGTAGTTGCTGTAATTTTTACTGAACTGGATTTAACTATTTTCTGTGTGAGTAACCTCTATATGGACGTGTGAAGTTGTTCTTGCACTCTATTTTTGTATCAACATTTGCTGGCACTGGGTTAAGTAATATGTTTTTAAAGGGTAAGCTCAAGGACCATGCTATACATCCTGTTGGAAACACTCCAGCTGGGACTTGCATATTGCACCCAAGAGAATTGCATACATACCATCCTGCCATCTGTGAAACTGTATAAGTTTAATGAAAACCCTAGTACATATATTGTGTGTACTTTTTAAGGCTTCAAAAATACACAATTTCATGCTTAGTCACAAGTACCAACACATTGTAGTTTCTATTGAAACTGACAAAGTGAAGGCCATTCTGATTCAAACCATTAAAATGTATAAGTAAGTCTACAGACTTTGACTGGAAAATGTGTTGAACATTTTAGTGTTGCATTCCCTGACACATTTTAAGACCAGCAGCACAGATGGAGGCTGTCCAGTCAGTATGCAAAGATACACAATGCTTTTATGATTTGAAGCCATATAAAATGACTCTTTGGAGACAAATGCTTATGTAAAACAGCCATAGATATGATGCACTTGGGTGAAAAATACGAGTTGGGAGAGAGGAAGAGGTATTTAGATCTCTAAATTGCTTCATACTTATCTTTTGCACAGAGAACTTTTCAAGCAGGAGGCATTAAATGTCCATCACTTCATGTGAGGTTTTTTGAGTGACTATTAACAACAGTGTATGACTCAAAGGATTTTAATGGTGAGGGTTGCAGACAATAAGAAAGCAACCTTTCTTTTTGTTGTAAAACATGAGTTACTTGCTCATATTTAGCTTTTGCCAAAGCTCAAAAGAGCTATGTTAACTATATATGCTAAGCTATACACAACATTTTAAAAAGCTGTTTAATAATGTGTCTAATATTTTCTTGAAAGAAAAATGTCTAAATTCTTTAGCAGTAGACTTCCATTTAACTTTATAAACTGTTCATTTTCTCAACATAAGAATTGCATTTTGTCCTGGTCTAACGTGGCATTTGTACAGTGGTACCTTGGCTCACGAATGCCGCAGTTCACGACCAAATTGGGTCATGAACAGAAATTTCAGAGATTTTTTTGCTCAGGTCGCAAATTCCACATTGGATGATGATCATGATTGCAGCCATCTTTCCTGCATGGGCGCAATTGCAGTCATGCTCGGGGGGGCGGGTGGCCGCGATCGCACCCATCTCCCCCCCCCCCCGAGCGCACCCACGATTGTGTCCATTTTCCCTTTGATTAAAAAAAATATTTACAGAACGGATTAACCTTATTTACATTGAACCTTATGGAGAAATTTGACTTGGCTCATGACCAATTTGGGTTGCGACCAGAGTTGAGGAACGGATTAAGTTCGTGAGCCAGGTTACCACTGTATATTTTGTCTTTCCCAGTCAATAGTACTGAATTATCTGATTCTTTGTATACCTTGGAAGGTGAATAACTCTGACCTGGTTCATATGTAATAGCAAAACTTGGTTTAATTAACCACGTTGAATCATGATGTGAATCTGGAATTACTCATTCTTAACTTTATGTACAATGCACAAAGACAACTCATTATTTCCTGCTAGTTGTTCAGATGCTGGGTTATGCATGAATCCAAAATCATGGGTGTTCTTGGGTTGTTCCACCATGCTTCTGAGGTGGCAGCCAAGAGTGGTCAAAACCCCCACTTCTTCTTCTTCTTTTTTTTTTTTTTAAATAAACCATGGGTTAGTGTTAAATGTGAATCAGACCTTTGCCTCCTGTATGCTGCTTGTGATTTTCAGGATTGTTTATGCTATTAAGCCAAACATTTTAAATGTTTAAACAGTTTTCATGAGGGAGGTGATTAATTTTAGCTGCCTTTTGTACCTCACTTTCCCCTTTATTTGTAGTTGAGAATTGTGTACAACATTTATTATGGGTAAGCCATAGAACATGAAGCAGCATGGAGACTCAGACTTTTTAACATTTGATCCCTTGAAAATTATTCATGCTGTGATTGCCTCTGTACTTGGATCTGTTGGAATGTGTTCTGTTCAAGGCTGGGGCTAACCACACATGACAGGCATAAACCCAAATGATTCTCTCCGTTTATTTCAAAAGAAGTGGCTTCAGGCAGTAGGAATTTGTAGTGCAGGTAGAATAAGTAGTGTTTTAATTATGCAGGATAATATAGGGGAGTCCTTACAGGAAATTCATAAGCCCCTCCTCTGAATCTCACATGGTATGACATAATGGTAGGAGCACTGGAATGAGACTGAGGAGATCTGAGTTCTAGTCTACTCTCAGCCACAAAGCTTACTGACAAGACTTACTGGGCCAATCACTGCAATCACTGACTTCCCACCCAACCTGACTCATAGGGTATTGTGAGGATAAATAGGAGGAGAAGGACTATTTAATCACCTTGGATTCCTTATGATGACAGGAAAAAGGCAGGGTACAAACAATCACTGTAACCTTCAAAAAACAATGGCTAAAGTGATTGCTCCTGTGGCTATTGTCCCTCTTGATTTCAGCTTGCATTTTCATGGACATTCTCCATTGGGATTAAAATTTGACTTGGAATTTATTTTAATGCTTGGAATCTCTTGTCCAAAATTACAATTGTGTTCACTGTTACCAAGCCACCTGCCATTTTCTCCTTATATGCTGGTTTCCCTTCCACAGCATAGAATATGCATAAGTTACTCATTGTTAGGTATATATGAGAAATCTCAGGCTGGGAATCGGATGGATTCCCTGGGCTTGACTCAATAACCATGGCCATGATCCAAATATTGCTAAACATCTGGGACATGGGTAATTAAGGGACTGTCTGCTCCCTGCCCAACTTTACTTTCGTCATCTATACATTCGTCATCTGTGGTTCTTTTCCCAGGCTCTTTCCTCTTAAGCAGGTGATGAATAGAAAAGGGGATGCCTGGATGAAAACTATAGAACTAACTTAAGGGAAAAAGGAAATTGATTTAGGTGGTTTCTCCGCCCCTCCCCTCTTTCACCCCCTCCATTTCTGCCTTGTTACTGCCTTTTGTTTGGTGGAAATGACCTAAAACAATAAGTTATCTCATGCTGTCCCTTGTCCAGTTTTTTAAAGCAAGTGTACACAGTTTTACATGTTCTGATTATGTAGCATGGTATGCTGACATCATAGATTAAATACTTGCCATTGCCCCATTTTGTTTCAAGTTCTTGTTCAGAAACTGGGACAAGTCCTGAGATGAGCTGCACTGCTTGTTTCCTGAAGGTGGCATGTCAGTGGAGGATTCTTATATGAGGTCTACTGACTTGTCCCTTTCCAGAAACAACTGCTTCTGCTTGTTGCAGGTTGCACTCCAGAAGCACTGAACCATTTTTGTGCAAGCTGGGGACCACACAAACAGCATAATTGATGGAGTGCACAAGAAACAGTGGTAAGCAGCCCCATTGCTAACAAGGATGGTGTAAGCTGCTGACATTAAGTGCCAGAATGTACAGCAACCTTCTCCAACTTGGTGCCCATCAAGCCCAGCCTACATGACCAGTGGTCAGAAATCTTGGGAATACTAGGCCTAACATGGATGTTGGAAACAGAAATTATCAATATTCTAAACAGATACACTTTTATTATTGTGACTTAAAATGCATCTTGATCTCAGCATGATTGGACAGAAAAGGTAAGTGAGATGTTTAGAGGGAAGGTCCAGAAAATAAAACCCAAAGAGAGAACAGATGGAGGGAAGGGCAACTGCATCACTTCGGTTGTGAGACCAGTTACCTTTGACTTTGCCATCTGTTTTATAGCAGCTACCTGCACTGTTTTCATCTTAGCTGGATATTATAAGGCAGGGGTGAGCAACCTGTGGCCCCCTATCAGTCCTACCCAGTATAGCCAATGGTAATGGGAGTGGTAGACCAAAACAATTGATGGGCCCCAAGCTGCCCACCTCTGTGGATGGGAACTTCAAGGACTGATGCCCCTCCTTCCTCACCATCTTTTTTGCTACATGTCATATCTTTTAAATTGGAGGCTACCATTCTATTTTCCAAAACCAAAGAGCTAGATTTGTTTTTATGATCTTGGGAGTCATGCTGAAAATATTTGTAATATATTCTTCATAAGCCCCTCCCGCGCGTGCCTGCGCGCGCGCACACACACACACACAGGTTTATGATATGCTCAGAGATGGGATGAGGGGTTAAAATTTAACCTTCCTAGCTGCTGTTTCCCAACCTGTCATAACATTAAATCATTCTTTTGAGAGCTACTCTGAGGTTCAGTCTTGGGAAGGGGATATCATGGGGCAGGGATAAGGAACTACAAAGGCATCTAAATGTTTGGATCTTGGAATATATCTGAAAGGATGCTATTCCTCCCTGAGAAGTAAAACAGTTCTAGAAACCTTTACTTGTGAAATATAGCAGGGTTATGGCACCACCTTGTGGTGTAGAGTTACTTTGAAATGCTAGTAGATCACAGACAGTAAGTTGGCCAAAATGCTACTGGGTGCCCCATCTACATGCAACTTAATGTTAATCATCAAAGAATCTGCAGGAATATTTACCATCTATGCTTAGAACACCTGGAGGAGGGAATTGCATAAGCCATGGGAAAAGATGATCGTTTAAAATATATTTTCTGAGCTATTTGCAATTCCATGCATGTGCAAGTGTCTACAGGCTGTAGTGCATAACAGGAGCCAAGTTGCTAGTCCAGTGTAACACAGACCTTTGAGTTCTGTAATTCAAAGGATTTCATCTAAATTGTCCAAGGCATTGAGGGTAGTCATAGCCTGCGTGCTTATTCTTTGCTTCTTTCTCACCTTCTTCCTCTCAGTCTCTTGTAAATTTGTGCAAGGCAGGAGTTGATACATAGCTTTATATGCAAAATCTTCCCCTTTGCAAAAATTGCTGTCATTGCACAGACTTTTGGGGAGCAAGATTAGCTAAGATGGTGTCATACACACATTT